TTAAATTTGAATTTTAAAATACCATTTGAAAATGATATCCAACCTTTGAAGTGCATTTGAAAAATGCAATGCCAAATATCAAATAGCAATCGAACAACAAATCTATTTGTAAATAAGCCAAATCATTGCAAAAAATGGATAAACAAATGGGAAAAAAAGAAATTTTTAAAAAGTTTAAAGTTACTCAAATAGAAGTTGCTTTAAAAAGTTGCTAAAATAAAATGAAGTTTAAATTTCAATTTTAAAATACCATTTGGAAACGAAACAAACATCTGAAGTGAATTTTGAAATGGTAAAATGTGTACAGCAAAAATCACAGCACAATATCTAACCAACCAATCGCTTATTAAATTTATCATTTGATGAAAATATTTTCATTTTGTTAAGTTTCAATTTTTGATGTATTTTACAGACTTCACAACATTATCTATCATTGTTTTTTTGATTGATGCAACAATAATTTGTAATAAACATCGATGATTTGTGATAATTAATATTCGTTACTATTAGTTGGCTGTAAATTTAGGCTCAGAAAAAAAATATGTAAACACTTTTACTGAGCCTAAATTCATTGATTATACTAGGCTAATTTTTAAAGCCAAATTTTGGATGGTATCAAAAGTGTAATATAATTTCTAATCCTTTTTTTCTTTTTCTTTTTCAGCAGTTCAAATTATTTCTTAAGGTAGTAATGAATTACTTTAGATTTATTGCAATTTACAATTTTTTTAGGATAGAAGTAGACTAAGAGATAAATGAAATATCATTGATTGATGCATGCATGCATGCATCGTGCATTTACAATTCTGCAATCTGCAAGCAAATGAGTGAAATTTATTTGTGATTTAAATTGCACACAGAAACAGTATTCAATGACATATTTGAAATTTAACAGACGAAAATTAATTTTTGCAAATAATTTTGACACATTTTTAGCTTTTGTTATGCATTATAAGTTAGTTTGCTGAGGAAATAAAAATTTATCATTGAATTTTATTTATATGTGCTATATGCTACCAATATACCTGTGACAGGTATTCATTAGCCAGGTGACATGCAGACAGGTATACTTACTCATTGGCAAACGATAAGTAAGAAATTATACTTAGCATTATCTCTTTTGAAACATGCAATTGCATTCACTGCTTGCAGAATTACATCAATTTCTTTTCAAATTTAAAATTCGAAATGAAATATATAACTTAACTTATATATATATATTGATTAATCATTTATGATTTAAATCAATATTTACTCTTTTCTAAGTATATTGACTAATAATTTCTGATTTTAATTAAAATTTTTGTTTCTTTTTTGTAAGTGAGAAATAAAATAATGATAAAATGAGTTATAACAAAGAAGAAAATCGAAAAAAAAAAAATAATTTTTCAAAAAATTTCCAACAATTTGTTATTTTGATAGTTTAATGAATATTTGTTTAAAAAGTATAATAAACAACTCTACCGTACTACGCCTTTTAATAATTTAACTGCTCATTCATCTCAAAATGGAAAATAACACTAATGGATGACAGTTGATTTATTCAACTGATGACAAATACAAAAACAAATATGAATTGATAAACAGTGGAAGGGATGGAGTAGAAAAGTGAAATAGAAGTGTAGAAAAGAATGAAAATTTATTATCTGTAAAGGACCCAACAAATACATTTATTAAATTTTAAAAATTTGAAATTTCAATCGTATCATCATTAATTAATGAATGAGTATTTTTTAATTAATCAAATTGCAAATAGTTTGTATTGGAATAAAAGCAAAAAAAAAAATCTATAAAATTTTAAATGCAATTTTTTTTTCTATTTTTTGTTTTTTTTTTATTATGTTTTTACAAAAATTTTAAACTAATTTTAAAGCAACACTAATTTAAAATAATATTTTTTCGTTTTTTTCTTTTTATTTTTTTATTTTTTTTCATAATTTTTTTAATTTGAATATTTTCATTTAAAATATTTTCATTTATTTATGAATTTTTTGCAAAAAGTGATTTTTAGTTAAAAAAAAAGAAAAAAAGAAAAGCCAATAATTCATTAAATTATTGCTATTATTATTACTATTATTATGAATATTGGTTAATGTTAATTATCATTTGCTGTGCAATTGAATTTATAAAAGTGTAATCAAAAGCAATACGATGACATCTGTTCATCATTCATTCATTGATAATTTTATGCTTAGTTAAATGTGAATTTAAATATATTAATTTAAGCATTTCATTCATTTGATACATTCAATATTTGTTTTTCTATAATATTGAAGTAATATATCGTGATAAGATTGGTTAAATTAGCTAATTTTTGATAAATATACATATATTTTTTGAGAATATATAAAATATATTTTTGACAATATATAAAATATTTCAATTGAAATAAATATTTATCATTTAAACTCTCGAATAGCACAATTAAAATATTTGAAGTATTGAAATAATACAATTATTTCGATTAGATTTAACACGATCTACATTACAATGATTAATTATTTAATGTATTTTTATTTAGCAAATAATTTGCTTAAAAATTTAAGTGCCTTATCAGATATTAATTAATATTAACCAAGTTATTAGCTGATAATATGTGCATAAGATTATATAAACGGATGCTTTTTCTGACTATAACAGAAATTTGTTTTAGAATAATAATAATAATAATAATAATAATAGTAATAGTAATAATAATAATAATAATAATAATAATAATAATAATAATAATAATAATTAATAATAAATAATAATAATAATAAAAAGTAGAGTTGAAATGATTTCTTATTATAAATAATAAGAGAAAAATAATATAAAACTTGTTTGCCCTCTGTTACATTATAAGATTCAAATCTAAACTTTTCTCATTTTCATTTTAATTCTAGATTTGTCATTGAATAAATATCTGAATTTATGAGAATAATTAAAATTAACAAAATTCTTTTATGAATTATCAACAATTATGATTTTTAGAACATTTCCTTTTTTCAAATATAGTAAGTCGGACTTTTGCTGAATTATTTTTTATACGATTTTTACTGTTAATTCAAGATTATTACTCTTCAGAATTGCTGCAATATTGGATGTTCAGATGAGAAAAAAAGAACAAAATTGCTATCAAAAACAAAAGAACAATAGGACTAAAACAAATTCTGTGCTAATGCTTTTTTAATTTACCCATTGAAAAAGGCGAAAATGTCACACTGTGTATTTGTTAGACAATAATGATCAAAAGGTCATGACCTTCCTTGTCTCTTGTTTCATTGACAAGTGTCATTCATTCTCTCTCTGCCTCCCTCTTTCACATCAATCACAATTCTGTCATCTCAGATATTACCATTTAAAAAAAGAAAAAAAACAAACCATTTGTGAAACAAAACATCTTGATTATTATAGATTGTATAGATTAAAACATCTTGATTATTAACATCTTGATTATTAATATCTTGATTATTACATTTGTGAAATAAAACATCTTGATTATTATTATGATTATAGAAAAATTTCACTTTTTCTTCTTTCCTTTTCTTTTTATTAAAAATTTCACTGAAAATATATGAAAAATTGCAATGAGTAATAATATTACTCTCGAATGATTGATAAATTTAGAGTACCTTTAATTTGTATTTATATTATTTGATAAATACTATAATATTATTGCTTATTCAAATACACTCATCAATTTCTTCCTTTAACTTTTCAAAAAAAAAAATTTTTTTAATTGTTGTTAAATTAATTAATAAAGTCTTGCTACATTTCATTCTAATCTTTATCTTTTAGCTATTAATATTTTTTTTTGCTAATTAAAAACCTCCCAAAACTTTTTCACCACTTTCAAAATATATTTATTTTTCTTTTGTTGACAAAATTTTCAAACTATGCTATATGCTATGGTAGTAAACATCGAAAAATTGTCAACTTGAAATGATTATTTGCAAAAAAAAAAAATATATATCACACGAAATTACAATTTCTGCATGTTAAATTGATACAAATTACACATATGAAAAAAATTTAATGTCTATTAAAATACGTACAAAAATTGAAAATGTTTACAAATAATCGAAGAAAAATGAAAATTCAACTTGTTTTGTAAATTTGTAACCATTAAAGTTTTTTTTTTTTTTTTTTTTTTTGAAGGGCTGTGAATGAAAACCTCTACTGGAGAGATCAGAAATAAAATTTCAAACACTGAAAATATCTATGCATTGATCAAAATTAATTTGTTTTATACAAGAAAACAGACATTTGACAAAAAAAAAAAAAAAAAAAAAAATGGAAAAGGAGAAAGCATAATTGGAAAAAGGCTCTTCCTATTAATTTTTTATGTTCAATTTAGTAGTATTCTCTCAACAATTTTATCATATTAATGATCAATGAATGATTTTCATTTTTAACCTTTTTTTTTTTGATTTAATTTTTTTTGAAATTATTATAAACATTTGCTTGCCATAAAGCTAAACTATTTTTCAAAAAGATAAATCATTATTTGCTAATTTTTAATATCATTTTACTTTGATAATAATTTCAAAAAAAAAAAATTATTAGCATTTCTCATTTGTAAAAAAGTAAAGCAAAAAAAAAAAAAATTGAATTTTTCTTCATTTATATTTTTCTTTTTCTGTTAATTCATTTATTATAATGGAAAAGCAAAGTAATTTCGTTACAAATGCGTAAAAAAAGAAAAGAAAAAGGGACAAAAACATATTAAAGCATAAGGTGAAATTTTATTTTTCGATTAGAGAGAGAGGGAGAGAGAGGGAGAGAGAGGGAGGGAGAGGGAGAGAGGATAAAGTCGGAATTAAAAGGAGTAAACAGTACTAATCAGATTGTAAATGAATGGATGAATTTATCATCACCGGGAAACGGGAGTGATAAAGAGTTTAAAAAATTTCTCTTATCAAAAAAAAAAAAAAAATTAAAGTGAAGAAGGTGTAGCATAAATGTAGTACGAAAGATTATTTCTTCTTCCTCTTCTTCTAGTAATTTCAATATTTGTTTTATTTCTTCATTTGTTTCTTTGTTCTCTTTGCGCCACTTTTCTTAACATTCTTCTTTCGTTTATTTGCTGTTTTCTTTGTACCACTTGGCTATAACATTATCATTAATTTTGAAATACATATTTTAAGTTAATAATTATTCTATTAACATAAATTATCAAATAAAACTTACAGCGCTTTTACGTGCTCGTGGCTTTTTTGGTGAGGAAGTTTTCACGTTACCAGTAGCTCGTTTCAATGCCATTTTTTGCTTGCGTAATTCAATGTATTTCTTAAAAATTAAAATTTCATTCTTCTTTCTCTCTAACAAATAGTAATTTTCATAATCAAACGTAAAATAAGAAAATATTATCACATAATTTTACGTGAATAAATGTAATCAAATATATATGTACACAAACATATGAATAAAAAAGATGAAACTTATATTTAAAATAATCATTTCCTCATTCTATTATCTTCGTTATCTTTATATTATCTGATAAGCAAATTAAGTTGCAAAATTCTAAAACAAAATTTCAAAGCTAATTATCATCGTTTCATATTATCATTCAAATATGATACAATCAATAGTTTTTACGCACATAACAAAACTAACAATACTATGCGTTACTACTGATGTGAGTAAGAGAAGGAATACATACATACATATATATATACGATTGCTAAATAATTAGAAAATGATAACAAGAAGCGAAGGGAAATAAGAAGGGAATGCGGAATAGATCCGCAAAGAAATAAACAGAGAAAGCGGAAAAGAGCAGCGGAAAAAAGAAGCGGAAGAATGCGAAGACATATTTACTAATAGAATATAACAAAATAATATAAATATTGCATGGAGAAGGGGAGAAATACGATGAAAAGATTGTTTAGTTTGAAAATTTTCAAATTAACGATAGATGGAGACAAAATGTTAGAAGGTTTTACTACTCGCTCGTTCTGATGGGCATAATGGCAAGCGAGCGAGTAAGTGAGGGCGCGGACAGATAATTACGCGAGCGAGTGAGCGAACCAGTATACTACTTTCCCTAACCAATAACGCTGATGACGGACGACGATAACGCAAACAACAATAACAACAACAACAACAACAACAACAACGACAACAACGCCACCATCAGTTCATACCCTAACAGAAGCATAACTACGAGTAGCTGTAGCTGTAGCAGTAGTAACTAGTAATAGTAGTAGTAGTACTACCAGCACCGCCACTAATATTTCAATTATGTGCGATTGCGAAGCGCTTTTATACCTTTTTCACTTTTCATCCAATTGCAAATTTACATAATACATTATATATCGGAGGGGCGGGGCATATTGAAACGAGCGATATCGCTCGTTTCATATCGATTTATTGATTGATTCATACATTAAATCATCTAACATCAATTTCATATGTATATATAACATACATAAACATACATACACACGCATACACACATACATACATACACATATGTATACATATGTAGGCAGAGTGATAGACATACAAACATACACATACACATACGCACATAATAAATGTGGCATGCACAGTACGAAAATAAGTAAATAATAGGGGGGGGGGGGGGGGGACATTAATGGATGGATGACTATTGTGTGTCAACTAAAGTAGTAAACAAGTGAGAGTAAAGTAAAAGTAAGTAAGTTATGAATTAATAACTGGTATAGTGATAATATGAACAATGATATATGATAAGGATAAAGTTAGAGGTGATAAAGATCAGTCTGATATTTTTGTTTGATGAAATTTTTCTCAATGAAATAAAGAAATTGTATAATTCGTCCAAGCGTAAAATTAATCCATAATGCTTCTACAGAAAAGGAAAAAAAAAAAAGGATGAACGGATGGAATTATTGGTAAATAACAAATAATTGGGAAATAATCTTTATTAGAATAAAATATCAACATTATCAGCAATCGAGAATTGATTTATCAATATTATTAGCAGTCGAGAATTAATCTATCAATATTATCAGCAATCGAGAATTAATCTTTATTAGTCTTTCCAAGAATGAAATATTGATCTCTTTAAGCAGCGGGAATTAATGTCTTTTTTCCCTTTTATACTAATTTTATAATAATTAATTTTCTTAAAAAAATTTTTCAAACAATTTATGATAATGTTATCAATAAGGCTTTATCGCTTATTTTTTTTTTAAAAAAATTATTTTGCAACAAACAAATTTATGAAATTTTATAGATGAAATTTCTAGTGTCAGTTTTCCTCTTTTTTTTTTTCTTGTACCACACTAATGTGACAAATACGATGAATGGAAACTTTTTTAATTTATTGAATTCAAATTTAGTATTTATGTATGAATTTTTATATATGAATTAAATTGTGGAAATCATAAGGAAAAGAAAAAAATACATTTGAGTTTTGTTTTATTAAAAGTTACTAGATGAAATTTGTTAATGAATAATACAATTCTACATGGCTAATGCATGTATATATATATATATATACGATGTCAAAGGTCAAATCTGAATCTATTTTCTTAAATTTTATTAGAATTAAAATTTTTATTAAAGCATTATTAAGAAAAATTAGCTAAATAATTTTTTTCTTTTGAAATTTCCTATTGAAATTAAAAAATTGATTTTTCATAAACAATTAATTTTTCAAAATTTCTATAAAATTGTTTCTTTTGTTCTTTCACGTTTTATCTTTTATCATTTTCAGCTTTTTTTTATTTTTTTATTTTGATTTCAAATTTATTAGTAATGAATGAATTTACTTTTTTTTTTCTTTTTATTTGTGATGTTTGATAATTCAGTATAATTTATTAGTGCTATCACATATGGAAATGTTAACAGAATGTACAATTTTCTACAAATATTTTTTTTTTTAATTAATATTTTTTTAAAATTATATTTTAATCAATATTTCAGCTGTGTTTAATTATTTTTTAGTTAACTAATATTTTTATAATTTAATGAAAATATTTTATCTAATAAATTATTCTTTCATCATATTCAACATTTAAACAAACTTTTCACTTAAATTTTTTTTTTTAGAAACAAATTTCACCAACCAATTTATTGAATTTATTAATCATTTTTTTTTTCTGCTAATAATAATTTGTCACCTATCTGTCATATATTACCTTATATTAGCAATAGCATTTGATTACTTACAATTTTTTCCAATTTAGTTTTTCAAAAATTTCAAAAAAAAAAATAAAAAGAAAACTATTATATTACTAATATAATGATTCGATACTGATATTTTAAATCTACAAATAATTGTACTAAAGTATTAGTAATCTGAATAGTAATACAAACAAATTAATAAAGTAAGGTATGAATTGTCAAATGGAAGATTTGTTTCTTTTCTTCATTCAGAAGATATCATAAAATTTTCTTTTAATATTACTATTATTATTATTTCTTATTCAATTTATTAATTTCATTTTTATTTAATCTATTATCATCATTTGTTATTAATTATTATTTATTAATGCTTAATTTTATTACTACTTTAGTATTATTTAATTTCTCTTTCTCTTTCTCTTTCTCTCTCTCTCTCTCATATCGAAAATAAAATATTTGAACAGGTTATTCAGAAAATTTCATTGTAATCAGGAAATCAAGTACTGGAACCTATACGAAAGTAAATAATATTTTTTTTTTTTTTTTTAGCCAAAATAATTGATGAATTTTCGATATTAAAAGCATAGTAAATTGCTTTTATAAATTTTTAATTATTAATCTTATTTCATTCAACATTAGTCCATAATATTTTGCTATTCTGAATTAAATTTCAAAATTATTTACTTATCAATGATATTGAATTTTGATGTGAAAAGTAAATTCTAATGAAAGATGATAAATTCAATAATTGATAATAACTGGTATAACGATTATATATTTATTATTCTCCTCAAATATATATATTTACTCAATTAATTGTATGTAAAAATTTATTAATCGAAAGATTAATCATACTTTTAAGTTAACAATTATTAATAGCACTGTTTTTTTTTTTTTTTTTAATTTTTTAAAATTAACTAAAATATTTATCGGAGAAATTTATAATTTTTATCAGTATTTTATCAGTTCATAAATATATATGTGTACAATGAGTTAATTGATGATAAATATTTGACTGTGACAATCAATCTACAGTAATCACTGTTAATCAGCAACAATGTCACATTGAATCAAATGATTGGATATTCTTGATAATAACTGAATGATTGAATAATAATCCAAAGTATCAATCAAATTTTTTTTTTTTTGTTGTCAACTATTTTAATCAATTTTTTTTTTTTTTTTTGTGTCAATTATTTTATTTATTACTAATAAATTTGTATATTCTTTAAAAATTTTTAAAAAAATTTAAATTTTCAAAGAAAATTCAAAAACAATAAAATTTTAAAAAAATTAAATAAAAATAAAAACATAAAAGACACACACACACACACACACTTCTTAATCACTCTTTGGCTTTTGTGATTATAACAAATAATAATGTTTAAATATTATCCTCTTTTTTTCCGGATTTACTATAATTTTAATTGTTACCGCATCCGGTTTGCTAATCCGGATAAATTGTGTAATTATAATTGATGTTCTTCGGTAGCAATTGCAAAAAATTGCACCTCTTAAAAACTGCAAAACATTCCTAATTTTACCAAAATTTACAATGAATGAAAACGGAAATTTGAACTAGCTGAAAATGATGCAATGATTTTTTACATTTATTTGATATTTTACGGATCCGGTTAACCGGAAAGCATTCGTTAAAAAGGCACACGAAAGCATTTTGTCGATGGCTGAACGACTACGCCGGGACACCATAACAGCTACTGCACAACAACTAAATGGCATACAACAGCATGTAACCAACTAAAGCATTCATCCGCTTCATTTCTCGCGATCTCTCAGGAATTCCGGAATTTTTCATCCGGTCATATAGCCAGCAAAATAAGCTATCAAATGATATCCAATAGTGGTGTATTTTGAGAAGCTCAATCATAAGCATAGAATGTATTTTTGAATGCAATTGATAAACCACTAAGAAATGTTAAAATTAATTTCAAATTTCATTTCCAATTTTAATTTATCCATATTTAATTTCCACTAAAATTTGAAAGTAAATCTGAAATTTCCAAGAAAATTTAATTTCTAACATTGAAATTTACATTTAAGCTTATTATTTTGCATATAACTTATCATTGATCATATAATACTACTCATAAAATATGTAAATTTCTCTTCAACTTTTAACAATTTATGCAAATTTTTCACTTTCCGCGCTAATTATATCTTCTTTTACTTTCAAATGATATCATTCTGATAAGATATCAGTTGTGATACGCGGTTCTGTACGCTTTTTCCTTTTATCGTTCACATATATCAGTGGTTTTTTTTTCTCAATTTTTTGATAATTTTCAAATATTTCTTTTCTATTCAAATACAATTAGATGTAATTAATATTAATAATAAAAAAAAAAAAAACAGTAGAATACTGATTATTTCAAGCTTTTTTTTTTTTAAAGAAAAAATTGAATTCTGAAAAGTGAAATTTATGCTTAAAAAAGCTATATTAAATTATAAAATAATAAATTTTAAAATTAATTTTAAATAGTGTGTGGGAAAAAAAAATTTTTTTTGTAAGCGAATATTATCGTAAAAAAATTAAAATTTTTGTTTAAGTTAAATTTCTAATAATTTCTAACCAAAAATTTTTACTTTATTCATTTGTTCGTAACAAAAAAGTTTTCTTCTCTATTTCTTCATTAAATAAAATTTATATTTTTCATTCAAATTCAATTTATAGCAGTGATATTTTCATTAAAAGCAAGCAATAATTGAATTAAATTTTTCCAAGAAAGACAATTCATATTTCAAAACTACAAATTTAATCTTTAAAATTTTAAAATTTATAAAAGAATCAAATTGATCGTAATCAAATTGATTAGCAATTATTTTACAATTGTGCTCCAACAAATGATAAATACAATAAATAATTTTTGAATAATTAAAATTCATTAAATTCATTTTTAAAATCATTAGATAAAAACTTATTTTTATTCATATAAAATTAATTAATAGTACTTTTTGTTTAATCATTTCTTTTTCATTTTTCTTTTCATTTTATTTGAAATTATAAAATTTTTTATAACAATTTTTTGAAATAATAACGATTACTACAGGAATAGACAAGAAAATGACAGATGAACGCGTTGAAAAACAAATGGAATCTGGCGGTAATGTGAGTGGCGATGAGCGCCGTGCGGAAATTGCTAACATCGAGAATGAAGTAGCAGCACTCATTCAACAGGGATAGCTTCTCATTCGAGAGTACAATGTTAAAATGTTAAAATATCTGAGATTGAAAATGACCTGTAATATACTGGTTGGTACCTTTTTATATTTTATTTATCTTTCTTTTCTTTTTTTTAATTTTTTTTTTTAAAATATCCATATTATTGTTATAATTTCTGTTATTGAAAAAAAAAATTTTTTTAAATGTTTTTTTTTACCAAAAAAAAAAAAATTTTTGTTTTCATTCAATAAATTCAATTAATTTCACTTCTGTTGGCTATTTTTGAAAGTTGTTTGAATTAATTTTAAAATTTAATTCAAACAACAAAAAAGAAGAAAAAACAGAGGAGTATTTTTGAAAAAATTGGATGAGTAAATTGTTACATTAAAAAAAAAAAAAAAAAAACGGATTAAATTTTAAATTTAATATATATATCGATATTTAAATAAATAATTTTTGAATTTAGACGCAAAAAAAAAGGCAATTCTGAAATTTTGCTATGTTACTGATTTAAAAATTTAAATATATGAAATGCAAATTTTTCATTCATATTTTTTTCTTTTTTTTTTTTTTTTGCAGCATATAAAGCGTAATAGGAAAGGAATGCAGCAAAAATACAAACGTGAAAGCCGTTAAAACAGAAAAATAAATTGAAATGAATAAATTATAATTATTTGTGTTTAATAAAATTTCTATATCAAAGCAATAAATTTTGAAAAATATTTAATTTATATTTGTGTTGAAAAAGAGAGACAATAAAAAATTTTTTTCTTTTTAATGAAAATTAATATGCATTTGAGATTATTACTAACTTAGTAGTAAAAGTTGAATTAAAAAATCATAAATTAATTGTAAATGATAAAATGATAATAGTCAATAAAACAAAAATAAATTACTTACAGTTAATTGTTTTGTAGAATTATTTATGTTAAGCAAAAATAAGAAGTGAAGGTCAGAAATTTAGGACGAAAATAACAAAATTTTAAGCTAGAAAAGAGAAAAAAATTAAAAACGAAATCAAAATTAGCAAAAAAAAAAAAAAGGAAAAAAAAAAAAGTTTTGGCATTATCAAATGAAAAACGTTTAAATAATTTTATACAAAATATTTATTACTTACTAAAAAATGTTTGCAATATACTATAGAAGAATTAATTTAATTTCATTTTTCTACATTTGTTTTTTAATCATTTCATAAATTATTATTATTATTTTTTGTTTGTTTTTAACTATTTTAAAAATGTTCATTTGATAAATGTTAAATTCCATTTTTATTATTTATATTTTACAAATTCATCCTAAATTTGCTTGCTCTACATTGCTGGAACTATTTTAATTTTTAAATAAATTAAAAGTTTTCAATCCAACAGCAATTTTTTCAATACTTTTCTTATTAATTGCATTTGAAATGAATGTATTGAAATTGAAAATTATTTGATTAGTAAATTTATTAATTATATATGCAATAAGTGCTAGTGAAAAATTAAGGATGAATTTGAAATAATCGTAATATAAATCTAATAATATCAAGAAAATAAATGATAATCAAAATTAGAAATATAATTGGATATAATCTGTAATGGATGAAAAGTACAGTGAAATTGATAATTTTAAAGTTTAATTATCTCAACTAATTAGTAATATTAGAATTATCGAATAGTATTTACTGAAAGATCTCATTATTTCAAATAAAATCTCATTATTCTACTTCGTCTGCTTGTCCATTATTATTATTATTATTATTATTATTATTATTATTATTATTATTATTATTATTATTATTATTATTATTATTATTATTATTATTATTATTATTATTATTATTATTATTATTATCTAAATATCTAAAATGCTATAATTATACAGTTTAAGATACGACAAACTGAGAAATGCATAATATGACAAATGGATCATTAATTAAAATCACATTTCATCGGAGAAAATTTCAAATTAAACATTTAAAACATTCAATAATGCCATTTGAAGTTAATTCTTTGTTTTAATTAATTTTTAGTAGTTTTAAACTTTTGCACTAATCGTATAAAAGTACATTTGTATCTTAGCAATCAAATTGATACTCAAAGTATAGCGGTGAATTTGATTTAAAGAAATGGTTTAAAAGAAATTCAAATAAATTAATAGTAAAATAAAAGTTAAATTTTACCTTAAATCAATTGAATTTATTGTTGGTATGAATGAATGATATTTTTGCATTTTTAAGTTTAAGTTTTTTAAAAAGTTAAGCCAAAGAAGTGAAATCAACTATTTGAGTACTATGAAATTGAAATAACTAATCAATTAAATGATATCATTAATCAATCCAAATATTATTAATAAAGTAAGTGATAATAATTTTGTGATTTCTTATGATTATAGCAACAAGAAATTATGCCTGAATTATTTATTATTAATATTATTATTATTGTTATTACCATTAATATTATTATTATTATTATTATTACTTTTGTCGTTATTATTTTTTTTGATATTATTATTATAATTACTATTATTATTAATTATTAATTACTTTTGTTATTAAATTTTATTGTTGTTATACTTACTATTATGCTTGCCATTATTGCTGGCTTATAACACTAACAACCTGTCTTTTTAGCTTTTGAGAATCGCTAAATTATATTCGAGAATTTTTGGATAAAAAGCTAATTACTTGTTATGCTTGTAACTACTCCAACACTTTTTTTTTTTGCAGAGCATAAATGATGAATGAAATTTAATGCACAAATCGAAATAAATTAATTTGCAGCATAAATTTTAAGATATCAATAAAACGAATTCTAAGAATGTTATTTTAATTTCAAAAAATGAAATTGCTTAATATAGTATTTTCAAGATAGAAATTTTGTAAATGTTAAACTTTCTTAATTTCTGATCATCTTCTGGTTGAAAAAATGCTATACAACTATTTGTATATTATAAAGTATTTATATTATAATTAAACTAAATAAGACATTTAAATTGAAATTAAATTAAATTAAGTTAAACAAAAAAACTATTGAAAGTTGACGGAAAAAAAATGAAACAAAGAAATTGGTAGTATTTATTGAATGTTAAAATATCTTTTAACATAAATAAAAATGAAATGGCAAGTAGGAAAGATGATTGTGAGGAAATGTTTTTTAAACAAATTTAAATAAATAAAAAAAAAAAAAAAAATCGTTGAAAATAACTTACAATAACTAACAATCACAGACTATTAAATTATTAGATGATTAGATAATTTCTTGAAATTCTTTTGCAATTAATAAAAGATTTCAAAAATCATAAATGTATGATCAGCAAAGATATTATTAATAATTAATGAGAAATTAGTTTTTATTTTTTGCTTATTCTTTTAAAGATATAACAAAGAAAAATTATTGTTTATATTATCGATTAGACTGAATAAATAATAAGCAAAATAAATTTGTAGAGAAATATTTAAATGTTTCAACCTTCAACTTGAAATTTGTATGATATTTCAACTTGATGGCTTCTGACAATAAAATGCAGAATATAAATGAAAAGAATTACTGATAATAATTGATAAACCATAAAAGTTTGAAAATTTTAAAAATTAATTAATAGTAATTAAAATGAAATAAGATTGAAGAAAAAACCCGTGGTGAAATGTGGCAGAGAGAGAGAGAGAGAGAGAGAGAGAGAGAGCCTTGGAAGGAGTATACAAGTAATGTTGGTGCTGTAATTACAACAATAGCATATTAAATTATATTAAAGTGGTAATATATGATAATTATATTTACATATATATTTGTAAACAAAAAAAAAAAAAAAAAAAAAAGTGATTGCTAAAAAGGCTTAAAATATAAAGCCTAAGGCAACCGGATATATTTAAAAAAAAAAAATGAAATAATTAAAAGTTGGAATATTTAGAAAGATACTACTAATTCAAATAAAATTTTGCACTCATTGAATTTTTTTTTTTTTTTTTTTGTTTGCTTTCCTTAAACTAAAATTATATATTTCGAAAAAATATGTGCATCAGATGAGAATAAACAAAATAAATTTTTAGATTAAAAACTGGAATAAGTTATAACAAAGAAAGGAATGCATATATGATATACACCGGAAAAGCTTGATATTAACATCCAGTTTTCCGAAAAATATAAGGTAAACCAAAAAAAAAAAAAGAAATACACATACATAAATATACATACACATACAACATTGATAAGGTTTGATAAGGTAAAAAAAAAATTGGAATTATTTAAGTATATATTTTTGCAACTTAATGAATAAATAAATATTACACTTGCAAAATTTGAATTATCAATTGATAAATACAATAAATCAGTGATAATTAATAATACAAAAAGAAATAAATGAATTCATTATTTATGAGCAAAATGACAAATGTATTTATGGACAGATGATGTTAAACAATTACAAATATTATAAAAATAATGAATTTATCATTTATAAAATTTAGAATAATAAAAGATACAAAATGATATAATTTTCAAAAATGTTTTATTTGTTTGTTTGTTTGTTTTGCAATAAAATTACGCCTTATGAACAAGCATTTCTTGCTGTGAACTAGCATTATTAGCTTGAATTCGAATTAATGCTTCTAATGGATCAAATTGTGAATTATTTGTTTGATTTGATAATGATTCTTTGATCGGTGACAATCGCTGTAAAACTTGTTCAGCAGTTGGTCCTTCTAACCAAGGCCATTGCTCACAAACAAAATCAGTTGGATCCTCAAAACTACCACATCGTCCAAGTACTTTTACACCTATAAAAAAAAATTTTTTTAAAAAAAAAAAAAGAAAAAAAAATTAAGCAATAAATATTTGAGAAAAAAGAAAAAGAATTAAACTTAGATAACATTTATTTTCATATTAAATCTATTAATTTCAAGCTTATTATAAAATTATGATTTAAATAATTTTTTATTAATATCTAAAAAAGAAAAAAAAAGTGTAAACAAATGTGATAAAATAAAAAAACAATTTGATTATTTCAAAAATTTTCAAATACAACAAAATAGCTATTATGTTAGATTGATATTAAGCATTCCTAATTGGATTAAAATAAACCTTAAACTATAAAAATTTAATGTTAAATTTTTAGCTATAAAAATGTTAAATTTTAATTTGTAATTCGAAAAATTTTAATTGCTAAATTTAATTGCAAAAATTTAATGTTAAATTTAAATTTTAATTTTTAAATTTTAATTTAATTGTATCAAAAAAAGAAGTAATAAAGATCAGATAATGATAACAACCTTCTTTAGCTACTTTAATCATATATGGAATTATCATTTGATTCCATAATTTGATAAACCATTCGCGTGATTGCATAACATTTAATGGACATTGAAGGAATAAACGTGGTCCTATTGTTACATCTCGAGAATTTGCTTTCTCGATAAACTATAATTCATTATTTGTACAAAATTTTTATGATAATTTCCAAGTATAAATTTTTTAGCATAAATAAATAACATTTTAAGTAACAATTAGTACCTATTGATACTTATTTTGTACTATTTTTTTTTTTTTTTATAATTTATGAATAATTAAAAATTTAAATATTTCGAATATTTTTAAATTATTAAATAAAAAGTTATCGCAGTTGAAATAATTGAATAATTCAAAAAATATACTCATAAATTAAGTAATTTTTTAAAAATAATTTTGAAATAATTCAAAATATAACTTATAAATTAAATATTATTATTATTAATTTTACTTACTGCATTCACCGATGATAAAACACGTGGCAAAAATTCAACAACTCGAAATATTTGCGGTGATGATCGTTCATCACCACCAAATTCTTTCTCTAAAATACGACGTCGCAAGAATCGTCCCATATAACCACGAATTGCATCCATATTATTAGGTAATAAAAACATTCGAAAATTATGTTGAACCTGAAAATTTTTGAATTAAAAAAAAATATATATATATGTAAAAAAATAAATTTTAATAAATTCAATAAATTATATTTCAAAAAAAAAAAATTGTTTAAATTATTTAAAAAACAAAAAAAAAAAATTGAATTAGAATATTATAATCAAGTCATATTTAATTATTAATGAATTAATAATTAATATAATGAAAAAATTTCTCCCTCTCTCTATCTCTCATGCTCTAAATAATTTTCACAATAATTTTACATTAATTAAAATATTTTCTTTTGTCATTTTTAAAAGAGAAAGAGAGAGAGAGAGAGAGAAAGAGAAAAAAATTTACCTCTAATTCAGGTAATTGTGATGCACGATTTACAGTACAAATTACATATGGTCCTTCTTTTGATGGTGTATCAACGGTACTAAATGATGAACTAAGAAAAGCGATACGATGTCGTTGAATATTATCCAATAAAATAATTACAGGTTTTGTTGAACGTAGTAATGTTTCTAATTGTTTTTGTACCTAAATTAAATTTAAAATTAAAAATTGAATAAAGAAATAAATATAAATCATTAAAATATAATTTTATTTATGTTAAATTAATTAATTAAACAATTTTTTTATTTACAATTCAATCATTATTAATGCATAGAGTTTTTATTTTTTTTTTCAAATGAAATAAAAATAATTGTTATTATTAATTAATTTATTAATTAATTAACCTGTGCAATACTTCGATCATTATCATCATCACCAATTTTAATATCAATAATGGTATTCTGTAATGTTCCACCAATTTTGATACATAAATATCGAGCTAATAAGCGTGCTAAATTTGATTTACCAATTCCGGTTGCACCAAAAAGTACCAAACGACGATTTTGCAGCAATGCTTTTAATAGAAGTTCAATTGTAGACCGAGGAAATAAACAATCCATCACAAGGCCATCAACACTACGCTGTGCTACACCTGTAAACAGAGAATCTCATTAATTTATTTCACTTTGTTTTTAAATGAAATAAATAGAAAGAATCTATATTAATACAGAGGATAAGTTAATGTACATTTAAGTAAACATAAATATCGCACATAATAATTCATTCATTTATAATAGCAAAACTTATATATTGTATATTAACTTATATATTACCATATTGTATTATAAAGTAAAGTTTATATATTGTATATTAACTTATACGTTATATTATAAAGTAAATTTTGCATATTGTATATTAACTTGCATATTATAAAGTAAAATTTATATATTGTATATATGACAGCAAAATTATAAGCATGTAGATAGATCAGATAGATAGATAGGTCAGATAGATAGATGGATAGGTCAGGTAGATAGATAGATAGGTCAGGTAGATAGATAGATAGGTCAGTTAGATAGATAGATAGGTCAGACAGATAGATGGATAGGTCAGGTAGATAGATAGATAGGTCAGGTAGATAGATAGATAGGTCAGTTAGATAGATAGATAGGTCAGACAGATAGATGGATAGGTCAGGTAGATAGATAGATAGGTCAGGTAGATAGATAGATAGGTCAGGTAGATAGATAGATAGGTCAGGTAGATAGATAGATAGGTCAGGTAGATAGATAGATAGGTCAGGTAGATAGATAGATAGGTCAGGTAGATAGATAGATAGGTCAGGTAGATAGATAGACTCCTTTAGACCAACTCCTTTTAACATGTTTCACACTAAATTACTTTTATTAATTACAATAATATTTCAAATAAATGTGTTTTTTCTTTCGTTTTTTTTTTCCACAGTAATAAGTTAATTCATCTAAAATTATCGTACTTAATATGATCGATCTTAAATGAAATAGAAATATAACTTTTAACATTTCATAAAAATTTAAATCATTTACAGATATACTCATACATTTGTTGAGGTGTTCTGATTGATTAATTTGATCATTAATCAGTATTAGTGAATTAAATTTACCTCTTAAATAGATGCGAATATCATGATTATGCGTGAGTACATCAGCTGGTATAGGTGATGGAGCGGAATTAGTCTCGATATCTCGAATAAAATCACCAAATTCATATCCAATTATTGATTCATGGCTATTTAATTCTAAAGCCTTATTTGAATCAATTTTTGCCATATAATCCTAAAAATTTATAAATTAGCATAATTTTAAACATGCATTATCATAGTTTCTCAGTTATGATAAATTTAAATTAAATAATGATTGAGCATTTTGATCACTGAAAGTGTAATGAAATAATTTGATTATTTCAATTGGGTATGAGCTACAATCGTATGTAATATTTACTAATTAAATACTAAATTTTGGTATTAAGTATAATTTGTAGTAATTATGAAATAAATTTTAAAATTTAAATTTTGCTAAAAGTATAAAAAGAACTAAAAATTTTACTAACATCAAAAAGTTTAAAAAGCTCAGCATCAAAAATTTCCCAAGTGGTAGTTGAAGAAGGTAAGTGTATAAAACCAATTGATACTTCACCAGCTAACGAACGTGGTCGTAATAAACCGCTAAAATCGACGCTTACTGTTACTTTCAAACAATTTGTTCCATCTGAAATTAAAATTAAAAATTCATTTTCAATATGAACTAAATTACCTGAAATTTTGTACTGAAATTCATTGTATATAAATGTTCTTGTTAATTAGTAATAAAAATGAATGATTTACAAATATTAAAAATTTTAATTAATAATTTTAGAATTATCGTTTAGCAATTAAAAATATAGATTGAAATTTTTGCACTTAAAGCTCATACTTCCAGTTAAACAACGTTCATTATTTGGTGGTATTTCATAAACCGGATCATCATCCGGTAGAGTTGGTAATGATTGCTGTGAACTGGTACGACTTTCAGCTCTTATTCGTCTTTCTAACATTGTATAATTTTGCTTCAAAATTTTATTTTCATTCTGAAAAAGAAGAAAAAAAAATTTCCTTTTTTTTTTTTTTTTGTCAATTATTTCTAATTTATATATAAATAAACTCAAAAACTCATTTTTTTAATCAAATAACAAATAAGATATAAACATTTTTGATTGTAACATATTCAAATTTCATATTTACTTTATTTTATAGTTTACTTATGAAATTATTTCTACAATTTCAATAAAATATATCTAAAATTTAAAAAAAAAGAAATAGAAAATATTCTCACTTTTAATCTATTAATTGTTTCTTTGAGAATATCTACTTCACGTGCCTTATCAAGCGCATCCAAACGTACATCAGTTAATGCTGAATCTTTATCTTCTAATTGTTTTTTAAGTTCCACAACTTGTGGTACCATTTCTAATTCATCTAGCCTGAAATTAGTCTAAAATTATCTTTAAGTTAATTTTTATCTGTTATGAAAATAAATTAATGAATTAATCATGTAGAAAAATCATCGTTTACATTTTAATTTTAAAAAGAGAGTAAATTCCGGTAATTAACCTATTAACACTTCCTGAAATTGGTTTCAGGTTTGATGGTGAACCAGAAGTATGCATCGGTGAATGTTCTGCATCCGATACTGAACAGCTCTTTGTTTTCTTATTTTTAGTGAATTTTGAAAATGAACTTCTTATCTAAAAATTACAAAGAAACTTAGGCAATAATAAAAAAAGAAAAACAAAAATATGAATTATCAACAAAACAAACAATATGGAAAAACAACAACAATAACATAAGCATACATGCAATAAGTAAACAAATACAAGTATGTAAATAAGTAAACAAATAAGGAAAGTAATATAATTATTTATTTCAAATATACCTCAAAATTTTAAAAAATGAGAAAAAAAAAAAAGGATAATTGATTATCCAATAATTTGAACAATTAATAAACATTACCTGACAATCAACGCTTGCTGTCTGTATAAAATGATTTTAGAAAAAAAAAAAAAAATTGTATTTATTTAAGCATTATGAGAGTAATTAATTGTTAAACTAATAAATTAAGAAATAGTGTTTCATTTTAAATGAAAATAAATTTTAATTTAATAGCTTATTTTTCTTTCTGTATTCAATTAATGATTTCTTTCAACATTTCAAACTGTTAAATATGACATTTGAAAGAAAAGTAAGAAACTGCAATGTGTAATATAGTTCAAATACAAAATTATAATAAAAAGTAGTAAGTAAAAAAAAAAAAAGGGAAAAGAAATAATTTCAAAAAAAAAAATAATAAAATTCCATTTTATTATTACTTACCCAACTTTTTTTGCCTTGTTTGCCAAAACTATTTAAACTGCTTTTATCTGTTTTACTTCCCTTACTAGAAGAGCTCATCGATGATCGATGACTGGTGACACTTTCCAGTGACGGATGTCTCAGTAATTCACCTGCACCATCTTGCTTAAACAGGAAAACAAGAAAATAAGTGAATAAAAAATAAACAAATAAGAAAAACGAAAAAATTAATAGACTAAAAAAAGATTCATTATTAAAATAGAATATTTTACTCATATTTTAATAAAAAAAAAAAAACTATTTTTTTAATTATTTCTCTTTTATAAATTTTTTTTTTCCTTTTTTTTTTTTTTTTTTTTTTTTGCAAAATATCAGTTTTAAATATAAATAAGAATTTATTTTAAACTAACCGATTGTGGTGATGAACTTTTACGTTGCGTGATTGTTGCAATACCGGAAACGTTAACGCCAGCATTAATACTCATCACACGTAATTGCTCAATTTCAGAACGTAATTTCAATACTTCGTCCTTCTAAAAAAATTTTTTTTTTATATATTTTTAATATATTTTTTTTTAATATATTTAATATATATATTTATATAAAAAAAGACTTAAAATAAAATATTAAAGTATTTTTTTTATGTTTATTTTATATTTATATTTATTTTTTTTTTATATTTAAATTTTTATATTTATTTTTTTTTATATTTAAAGTATTTTTTATACATTTATAAAAAAAAAAAAAACTTAAAATATTAAAAAGTAACATAAATATACTATTTAATTCAATAAGTTAGTATGATAAATATCAAGAAGTTAATGTGATAATATTAAAAAATAGTATTATTACTTTTTAAAAAATATTTTGATTATTGTTCCTTTTTTAACACTGAAAAATTGATATTTAAATAAAATAAATTGATTTGTTAATAATTATTAAAATTTTAATTATTGTAAACTAACATAAATATACTACTTAATTTAATAAATTAAAATGATCATATCGAAAACTATAAGTTATGCAAAAGTAAATAAATGTTATAACTGAAGCAATTCAAATGTTAGATTATACTTATCAATTTTTTATAGTAAGAAAAACTTTTAAATCCTTTTTTTTTTTTTTTTTTAAATATTTTCATTACTAATTTTTTTTTTTCTCAAAATTACTTTACTATTACTTTTTTTCCTGCAATAATAATGTAACAAAATGATTTAAATAATATTGATATGCATATTTGTTATATCAAAGATTACAAATATGAAGAAGGATTATAAATTTTTTCACAAGCATTTTAAAAATTTAAATTATAATTTTAGAAATAAAGATTATCAACTAAATTTTATTATCAATTAAAAAAACTTAACTCTGAAAATCTTTTTTTTTTTTTTTTTTTTTTTTTTTAGCTCTCAGAAAAACATACTTTGAGTAAAAAAAAAAAAAAAAACTTTATCAAATTTATCAAATTAAAAATGAAAATGATAATTATTACCTTTAGTTGTGATTTATTTTGCAAACTTTCAACATGTTTTGCCATTAGTTGTAATTTAGATTCAAAAAGTTGAATGATATGATTGTAACCATCATGTTTTGCAGTTAATTTTGTTATCGTACTTCGATATGTTTGCATTTCTCTGTTAAGTTTTCGAATTTCTGCTTCATATTTTTCTTCCATCTAAATTAAATTTTAGAATTAATATAAAATTTTGCAAAAATAACAAAAATTTTTGCTAATTAAAAGTTTCACAAAGAAATTGTTTGCTAAAATTGGAAAAAACAAAAAAGGTAAGAAAGAAGGAAAGAAAAAAAAAAAAAAAAGAAATAAGAAAAATGAAAAAGAAATGAAATTTAATTAAATTTCTAAAATATTGAATATTTTCTTCGTTTTTTTTTTTTTCATCATTTAAAATATTTAGCATAATTATACTGTTGTAGAAAAAGAAAAAACAGATTTTTTTTTTTTTTTTTTGCAATAATTTAAAATCAAATAATTAATTAATCAAATAAAGTTACATTTTAATGAATAATTTCGTCTTTTAGTATGAATTTATTATTAAATACAAAATATTTTTAATCGTTTCTTCATTTTACTTTATTCCCATTTATTCTTTCTTCATCTCCAATACTTGAATAATTAAAAATTTAAGCTTAAGTTTAAGCTAAACTTAATTTACAATCCTTCAAAAATCTCTTAAAATCTCTCTCTCTCTCTCTCAAAAAAAAAGAGTTAGAAATGATAAGAATGAGTAAAAATAAGTTTTTTTTTTTCTCTCTTTTTCTCTAAATGTAAATAAGAAAATAATTTAATTAATTTGTTTTAAGTTAATGAATAATTGAATGTGTTCAAGAAGGCCAAAAAAAAAAAATTAATTTTAAATTAAAAAGAAAGAGAAGATAGAGAAAATAAAGAAAAAATAAATAAATTTAAATTGAATTTTAAATTTGAAAAGAGGAGAAGAAAAAATAAATAAATAAATTTAAAATTGAATTTAAAATAAATATTGAAATAAAAATGTACCGATGAATACAATGAATTTGCAGAAGATGTTAGTGATAAGTGTGAATCATTTGCTTCAGCAGGTGAACCACTTGGTGATAATTTTGATGTTGCAGAAAGATAACCAGATTCTGCATAACGTGATGTTTTCATTTGTGGTGTTCTAAATTTAAATTTAAATTAGTTTAAAAAAAATGTTTTTTAGCAAATTTAGTTAAAAAAAAAAGTGCATTTATCAATAGTATTATCATTAACATTGTTAATTTATCATTTTATGATAAATATTAATATGCAAAAAGTATTTTTTGTTTTTTAATTAGAATCTCTTTGATATTTCTCAATGAATAATTATTTATGTTATTGTTGAATATGAATGAAATTTAATGATTAATTGTTCAATAACTTTATCAATTAATTTAATTAATCTTTTTTTTTTCTTTTTTCTTGGATAGAATTATCAGTAAACTATTTGGCTTAGGAGATGAAATTGATTAGTTAAATAAAATTTTAAAACTTTTATCATAAATACTTTTATCGCAGATAATAATTCAATTAATTATATCGTTTATGTTTTTTTTTTTCCTACAATTTCATTTCGCTTCTTTTTCAATATTTTAAAATTTAACAAATAAAAAAAAAACAAACTATTATACCTTATACCATCATCGGAAAGTTTGTGAAGTTGAAGATTTGCATCACGATGAGCATAATTAGCATATGCATTTTCCATTTGACATTTACGACTTGACAATGAACTTCCTAAAATTTTGTTATAAAAAGCAAATAAAATGAATATCTCTCTCAAAATTTAAAGAGAGAAAAAAAAAAAAAAAAACAAACAAAAATTTATGAATTTCAAACACAAAAGTTTATAATTCAAAATTGAAAAATTGCAAAGATTGTAACAACCTAGAGCAATTAATTCACTTAGGATAGAATTATAGATTAGATTATTTGATTTGAATTCATTTAATTATTAATTAATTAAAATATTACAATGAATTAAGTGAAACGATGTGATATTTCTCTGTCATTTGTAAATTGTAAATTTAAAATAATTGCATTATTTGGAATAAATAAAATTAAAATGAAATAAGCAAAAGCATAGGAGAAAAAAGCGAAAACAAAAAAGAAGCATATTATCACTATTGTAAACAACTTAAGTTGCTTATCACAACTATCAGCTATCACAGCAGATCAATTGACGTGATTTTCACGTACGGTTTGAAATTCTATCGTGTATGCAAACGGCAAAATAACATGCATTAGTCATACGTTAAGAAGAAAACAATAGAAATGTAATAACAATAAGAAAATATTTTTTAACAAAAATATTTTCAACGATTAATTAATTAATTAAATTAGAATAAAAGATTGTAAGAATTACTAATTAATTCAATTAAAATGAAAGATAATGAGTGAAAGATTACTAAAACATATGAAAAATTGTATAATGAGAAAGAAAATTAAAAATTAAAAAATTTTGTAATTTAAATTTATTAATTTGTTTCAGTATTAATATATATTTTTTGAGTTTAGACAAAGCTAATAAAATGATTAAAATAACTCTAGCAGATGAGCAATGAGTAATTTGAAAATGATCAAATGTAATTGCATAGAAATAAATTTAAATTGAGTTCAGTAAGTAAACAATTATTAAATGAAAACAAGTAGGATTAGATGGTCAAATTACTAAAAGATAACAAAAAGCAAAATGAAAAGATATTCAAACATTTGTGTTCTTAGTTTGTTACTGAAATGATAGTAGTTGAAGGTCTGATTGAAAATGTCACCAGGCGATATGAGCAGATGAGTAAACAAAGTTTCATTTGGAATGATCTATATTTAGGATTATGTTGAACATTTGCTGCAATGACCTTCAGTGACAATCGATTAGTCTGATGCTGATATTATTTATGATAAATGGAGTAATACACAAAAAAGAAGATGCAAAGATAATGATGATGATGATGATATGATAATGGCGATGATGACGACAACGATGATAACAATAGTAATGACAACGATAAATAATAGCAATGACATAATAGTGATGATAACGGCAATGAAATGATAATGATGATAATGAGAGTGATCATAATGACAATGATGATAATGATGACAATAAGAGCGATCATACTAACAATGATGATTATGATAATGATAATAGCAATAATGATATAATGATGACGATAACGGCAATGATATGATAATAATGATAATGAGAGCAAGCGATCATAATGGTAATGATAATGATAATACTTTATACATCAAATACTTGTAGAAGTTTTATAACCACCTGTGCGTCTATTTGTGGAATTTCTTTCAGTGGTTGAAATATCAGCTGCAATACTAAGCGGTATATGTTTGATAATCATTTTTGGATTAGTCATTAGCGGTGAACGGCTACCAATTCGATAATTAGGTGTATTATCAGGTGTTGAAGGTTGTGAACTACCAGCGCTTGAATCTGAACCACTACCAGCAACCAAAATCATTGAACGTGACATTCCAGCAGAGGAAAGCGAAACGGTTCGCTTAGCTATAAAAATGACAAGCAAAAGGAAAAAGAAACAAACAAACAAACAAACAAAAAAAAAAAAAAAAGAGAAAACAAAAAATGAATGATAGTAAGTAATAGTTATTGGAAGAAAAAGAAAAATAACTAATTACATAAATTAAATTAAATTAGAAAGAAATTAATGAAATATGCAAAAAAAAAAATAAAAGTTATCATTTGGTTTAATCAGATTTAAATATAGCTGAAATGTAATTATATTTATATATTATATAAAAAAAAATGATTAAATTAAACTATTAATTATCTAATATTAAAGTTCTGTAATATACCGAAAAAAAAAGATAAGATTTCAAAAAAAAAAAAAAAATTCAAAAAAAAATATTCAAAAAAAAAAATCAAACTTTAATGGTCAAATATAAAAACTATTGTAAATTAATATAAGCCAAAATTTTAGTGTATGCAAAGTTTAATTATAATTGCTATTAATTAATTTAAAAAAAAATAAAAGAGAAAGGTGATATTATTACATTTACAATGATAGCTATATAATTAAAATAAAATTTGACTTTAATTAGTTTTTTTTTTTAAAAAAAAAAAAAAAAAAAAAAAACTAAAAAACTGAAAAAAAAGCAAAGGGAGCAAATTTTATTTAAAAAAACATGCAAAGTGATATATCATGCAAAATCAATGTTATTTATTTGCAAAAATTAAATTTTTTTGATAAATTAAATAAAGATGAAAGAATTGTGAAATATAACAAAAAATTTTAATTAATATTTTGATTTTTTGTGAAAAAATAAAGTACTTATATGAATGTAATATAGTATTAAGTGTGAATATTGTGGTAAAAATTAAATGAAATTTACTAGAAATGAATTAATTGATTAAAATTATAAACAAACTATCTTTAAATTTATAGTTTTATCACGAAAAAAAAAAAAAAAACTGTTGACATGTTTTATTTCTAAAACTATAAATGTCAAAATCAGTAATTCAAATTAAACCATAAAATTAAAAAAAAAAAAAAGAAAAAATAATAATACAACATTTCAAATAATTGCTACAATATAATATAAGTAAATAAGTGATGGAAATTTCTATCTTGATTTTTAAAAAAAAAAATTAATAATAATTTTATCTAAAATTAATACTCATTTTTCTTCTGATCATCTTTTGAAATAACAAAACGAATTTTTAAAATTATTAATTTATATATGAAAGTAACTTAAGTTTTAATGTTTGATATGATATTATAATAAAAAAAAAAAAAAAAAAGTAACGTAAGTAAATATTTTATGATATAACCTTTGACAATTCTTTTCTTTTTTGAAATTTAAATTTTTATTTTTTTTTTTAAAAAAAAAAAAGGAAATTAGAAACAAACCAGCAACACTATGTCGATTAATCAGGTTATGTTCCATATTTTGCTGTGCTAATGTAAATTGATGTCGATTTGATGCGATATGTCGAGGACTTACCATTGCTAAAGTAGCAGCAGATGTTTGCTGTCCAATTGCTGCTAACCTAAAATTAATTATTTACGGTCATTTAAAGAAAAAAAAAAAATTATTATTATTATTATTAAAAAATTTTCTATTCATTTCATTCATAATTTTTTCGATTAATCATTTTCAGTTTTTTTTTTTTTTTTTCTACAATTTTGGTTAGTTTGTTTGTTTGTTTTTTTTTTTTCTCTCTCTCTCTTAGAAATCTTTCTCTCTTATTCACTGATGTAATTCTCTCATTAACTTTTTTCTATTATTTATAATTAAAATAAATTAAAATTGTAAAAAAAAAAAAAAGATTATAAACTAATTTATAACCGGATACCGGAATTGTTCCGGTCATGTAGCATAATAGTAATGATAATGATAATAATAATAAATAAAATAATAATGATAAGTAATAAAATACTGTTACTACTAATAATAATAACAATAATGATAATAATAATAATAATAACAATAATGATAATAATAATAATAATAATAATAACAATAATGATAATAATAATAATAATAATGTAATTAATTGTAACATTTTGGAACAATTTTCACAGCATAAATCACAAAAATATTTCTTTTAAAATTAAAAAAAAAAAAAACTCCAACTCTTTCCTTTGCTTAATTCCAATTCCAATTAATTAAAGAATTCATTTTCCTTTTCAAAAAAAAAAAAAAAGAAAAATACCGATATGGATTATCATCGGATATTCGATAGCAATTTAGTAAATGTGCTTTTCGATCCAATGAATGATATCCGGCAATTGATGTAAATCCTAAAAAACAAACAAAAATTTAAAAAAAAAAAAACTAGCAATCTTATCAATTTTCAATTTATTTTTATCAGTTTCGAATTTTTCCATTTCAAATTGCTGAAATAGGAAATGATAATATTATTTGTTGTGAATATATTTTCTTAAAAAGATCATTCTTTTTTCCTAATGTATAATTTTTATACATAATTTTAAATTATATGCATACAAACTAATATTTAAATTTTAAATACAATAAAATATTATAAAACATTTATTGATAAGAAAAAAGTAAGAAAAAATAAAATTTCAATTATTCATTTTTTTTTTTCTTTCCCATATTTTTGTTATCAATTAGAAATGGAAGAATTTTAAGGAATTTTTGAAAATTTTCCATTCTTTTTTTTTTTTTTTTTTGAAATCTTTTCCATCTCTAATCATTTTAATTAAATGATTAAAAAGCAATTTAATTTCATTTTAAATTTAATTTGAAAAGTTTCACTTTTAAAATATTTTCAAAATTATTGCTATAATTTTTGTTTGCTTGCTTATCATTTTTGTAACAAAGAATTGATGATTGAAAATGGAAAAAAAAAAAAAGATTTTTAAACTTTTATTCATTTTTATTCCATTTCTTTTCTTCTCCTCTTTTTCTCCCTTTTTTATTTTCCATCTGTCATAAATTCTTTTCACTTTATCAATCGCTGAATCATAAAATAATTTAATTTCATTTGCATTAACAAATATCAAATATATTTCCTCTCTTCTACACTAAAAAATAATATAATTCATTGATATTACAACTAATATAAAAAAAATTTAGCAAAAATAATTAAAAAAAAAAAAGTTAATTTTAATCATTGATAAAATTATTTAATCAATTGTTGATAAAATTATTAACAACAAAAAAAAAAAAATTATGTTTTAAATAATCAGAAATGCTTTTTTATCACTTTTAAACAAAAACAATTTAACATAAATAATTTATAATGAATTAATAAATAATATATTCAGTAGTAAATTAATCATTTAAATATATATCACTTATTCTCGTTAATTTAAGTTTCAAATGAAAAAAAAAAAAGAGAGAGCAAAGTTTAGTTTCGATTACGAATAAATTTTAGTCATTCATCATTTAAATCTTTAATTTTTACAGATTTTAAATTTAAACGATGATTACTTATAAAAATCTATTTAAAAAAAAAAAAAAAAGAAATGAAAATGGATGGAAATTTGATTACAATCATATGTGATTGATAATTTAAACATTGCAAAAAAAAAAAAAAAAAGAACTATTTTTTCTCTTTAATTGGTTAAAGATCATTAAAGTATTTTTTAGTGATAGCAAAAATCATTTCTTTTTCAAATTACTATCTATCATTTATCGCTTAAACGCATTTTAAATTGTAAATTTAATTTAGAAATGCAGAGGGGGGGGGGGGGAGGGGAAGAGGGAGGGAAGGGGAAAGAAGATGAAAAGATAGGATAAAAATGAAAAACAAATGTTTTCAAATTTAATTTTTCATTTCAAAATGATAGAAGAAGTAGAAAGAATTAAGAAAAAAAAAAGTTGTCAAATTATTGCTAGCAAAAATTGTCATAAATAGAAGTATATTATTTCTATTTTTTTTTTTTTTTTAAATAATATTGTTTCGTCAAATAAAATAAACATTTCAATTTTCAACCTAATATTATTCTTTTGATAAAATGAAATTTTCAATTTTTTAAATTAAATTTTTTTTTCTATGCAAGAGAATGATAAGAAAAGGATGATAAAAAATTGATTAAAATTTAAAAAAAAAAATAATGATTAATGATAAGTTATATCATTCAACTACTATATTATTGTAATTATGCAAATTTCATCTCATTAGTAATCCGAAATGAATTCAGCAATTTCTTTTAAAGATTTAAATTAATTTAAAAAAAAAAATTAAAGAAAAAGGAATTGAAAATTTCATGAAAATTTTCAAATTTCTTTTTCCATTTTTTTTTTTTTTTTAAATTTCAAATATGCTTCAAAAATTATATATGCAACAATATGGGTGTATCGTTATTTCATAAATTTTCGATTAATAATTATTCGATTAATTTTTATTGAATGGTTTTTGATCATTTCAAATTTGATATTTAAAAAAAAATAAAAGAAAAAAAAAAAGAAAATACATCTTTCGTCTTTACACATTTTTATGTTTTTATTTAATTTGATTTATTCATTGGTTGATTTTTAATCATTTCAAGTTTTATATTAGAAGAAAAATAAGAAAAGAAAAAATAAATAAATGAAAGGAAAATAAGAAGAAAGTACATTTCGTTTGATTGATGTTTAATCATTTCAAATTTTTCCATAGAAAAGAAATAAAAAAAAGGAAAAAAAAAATGAAGAAAGTACATCTTTCTTCTTTATATATTTTAATTTAATTTAATTTGATTTATTGATTGATTTTTTTAAATTTTATTCACCGATTTTTTAATCATTTCAAGTTTTATATTAAAGGAAAGATAAAAGGTAACCTATAACACTCTTATATTTTATTTAATTTCAATATTTTAAAATTTACCTGGTCCAGCCTGAACTTGATGATCCTGTTTTGATGGCATACGTAATGATGCTCGACCTGAATCACTTCTTACACATAACGTATCACCATCATCACTAAGCGCTAATTGTGGTATCAAATGTCCACCGACACTAGCGCCACTACTACCTAATGTATGATAGATTGGATGTTGTCCACATTCATTATAACGTTGTGAAGCCTATAAATAATTAACAATCAATAATTTAGTATAATAATTTTTAAAAAAGAAAAAATAATTTTAATAATGATAGTTTTAGTGATGAGGTAGGTAACAAATATTCAAATATGAGACAGCTGCGCCATGAAGAAATGAATGAATGAGAATGAATGAATGAATGAATGAATGAGTGAATGAGCGCAAATTTATTACTGCTGCTGGAACAAAGAGATAAATAAGAAAGACTAAAATTGAAAAAAGGTTGATTGAAATGTTTAAAAAAAAAAAAAAAAGAAGAAATAAAAATGGAAAAATTAAAGAATAGCAGCTGTATCAGATTATAGTAAATTACATTTAATAATTTATATCATATTAATTATTAATAACTAGTAGTAATATTGATTATATTAATAAATCAAAAAAGAAAGGAAAAATTTTAACAGAAATATTATTCTATAAAATTTAATATAATAACAAAAGAAATTTTTAATATAAATAAATATTTAAAATATTATTTTAGGATAATTTACAATTATAAAAAATTTCATTCTAAAATATATTTATTTTTATTTTTTTATTTATTTTTTTTTTTTTGAAAAGAAAGCAATACGAACTGAATTCGATAAAAATTAATGAAAAGAAAGGAAAAATTTTAACAAAAATATTATTCCATAAAATTTAATATAAAAAAATATTTAAAGTATAATTTACAATTATAAAAAATTTCATTCTAAAATATTTTTTTTGTGAAAAGAAAGCAATACGAACTGATCAATGAATCGATAAATACTAATGAATTTTTCATTTTTATTTTCTATTCTTTTCGTTCGTATTCTCATCGCTATCGTTGAATTTTTAATCAATTTTATTTCTTTTCACTTGCAATGGTATTTTGTAATGTTTTTGTGATATAAATGAATTTATTTATCTTTTTTTTTTTCTTTTTTCTATTTATCATTTTTGTGTAACTTTCTCAAATATTATTAAAACGAATTTTATTCTTACTTTTTCTTCGTTTTTTTTTTTTTTTTTTGCTCTCTTCAGAATTATTCATTTTAGAAAAAAAAAAAGAAGAAGAAAAGAAGAAAAGAATTACGAAAAAAAAAGAATTTATTAAGAATTTTTATTAAGAATTTATTAAAAAAAAATTTATCGATTATCAATTTTTTTTTTTTTAACAATTAATAATTTTAACCAAACTACAATATAAAATGATAAAAATTTTTAAAACTTTTCATCAAATTTTATTAAAATATATATTTTTATATTTTTTAAGTTATAGAATGCTAATTCACCAGTAGTATATACAATGGAATAGATTAATTTAAATTAATCATTTTATTAAAAATAAAATATACTATTAAAGAAGGGCGATAAGTATTATATTGTTCAAAAATTTTTTTATAATTTTATTAAAATTAAAATTTTCTTATCTATATATTGAGAAAAATACAATTTTATTTTTCATTTCATTGATTAAAAAAAAAAAAAAAGAATTAAATCCTACCTGTGTACCACAAGCAGTACCACGATAATTTGTACGACATTTTTGAAGTAATTGATCGATATTTTCACGTTCTAACATACGACGTTGCTGTAATCGTGCTGCACTTGATGATGAATTGGTACCACTGGTACCACTATGACTGGAACTACGTTTGGTATGCACCTGAGATTGTCGAATATTAGCAGCTGTGGTACCACCAGAGGTAGTAGTGTAGTGCTGTTGCTGATAACCATATGCTGCTGCTGTTGCTGCTGTTGCTACCATCGGATAATCGGATAAGGAACTGAATTAATTATCATATAAGATTAAACATTACCCTGCATCATTACCTATACTTTTACCTGTATCAATAACCCATACTTTTACCTGTATCATTAACCCATACTTTTACCTGTATCATTAACCTATACTTTTACCTGTATCATTAACCCATACTTTTACCTGTATCATTAACCTATACTTTTACCTGTATCATTAACCTATACTTTTACCTGTATCATTTAATTATTCCAGTTCACTCAATTAAATTTTTAAATCAAGTATACAGATAAAGAACTGCAAAAAAATGAATTGTTATTTTAAGTATTAATCATCATATAAGCTTAAACATTACCTATACCTGTATTATTAACCTATACTTTTATCTATATCATTTAATTATTCCAATTCACTTAATTAAAATATTTATAAGTTAAATATGCAAATAAAGAACAATAAAACATGAATTATAAAAATTATAAATTATAAAAAAAATTATTAAAAAAATTTTTTTTTAGTAAAAATAGAAAAAAAAAATGATGCAAATTATTAGTAAGATTAAAATAATAATCAACTTTTTTTTTTTTAATTTCATATTCTAATTTATCATAACTAATTCTATCATTTTATCATTAATCTGATGATATTATCTTATCTTTATTGTATCTCAAATATTATCATAAATTATCATTTCTTTATCTTTCTTCTCTTTTCTTTTTTTTGTTTATATTCTAACATTATCCATCTTTTCTTGTTTATTTTTATTCAACTTTCATATTAAACACTTTCTCTTCACATATTATTGCATCATTTTCTGCATTATTCAATCTGATACTAAATTCAAAATCAAATTACTAAATTTTCAAATTTCATATTTTTACAATAAAATAAACATATATTGTTGATTAATTTAATCGAAATAATGAGAATTACTAAAAAATTGAATGAATGAATAAATGGTAATAAATTGAAAATTAAACTATTTTTTTACAATTTGATTTTTTAAATTGAAGAAAATATGAATTTTCTTTATCACTGTATCATTTCTACATTAAATCTCATATTTTTTCGGTGGAAATATAAGATGAAACAGCACTATTACTAATTATTAAGTTAAAAAAATTTCTTAAAAAAGTTCCTTTTACTAATAACAATCACTAAATTTATGGAATTCAAACTAAAAAATCTGAAATAAAATAAACTTAAATTCTTCTCATCACAATTAAATAAATAAATAAATAAATAATTATTTCAAAAAAAAAAAAAAAAAAAGGAAATGAAAGAATAAATAAATCAAAAATCTGTTATGAAACAAACCTTCCAGTAAGATCGTCTGTTGATATATCGTCAAAATTTTCCGATATGCCACTCGATAATGATGAGCTATCTTCAAAACTGAAAAAATAAAATAAATAAATAAATAAACAATGAATCGAAAAACTAAAATAAACAAACAATAGAAGAGAAAGAGACAGAGAAAAAACGAAGTAATAATCGTTATTAAATTTCAAATATCATACTTAAATATTTAAAAATAATTTCATCCCCATATTATTTTAACATTTATTTGCTAAAAAATAAATTTTATCACATATTAATAAATGATAAAATAGACGTCAAAAATTAATAAAAAAAGAAATTTAATAAAAATTTTTTAAAAAAAAAAGTTAAATAATCGAAAAAAAAAATAATGAGCTAATCATTCGTTTAATTACATTCACATAAAAATTTAATTGCACATTTGTGTCACATATAAATTTGAAATGACAAATCAAATGGACATTAAAATTATTCAAATGGGATTGTTGCTAAAGTCAACAATTTGTTTACTTATAAAATACTTTTACTTAGAAAATAGTTCTTTTCCTCTTTTTTTTGAATTACTATCGTTGTATATAATCATTTAATTCAAAGAAAAAATTAGTTAAAAAAAGTTAAATAATCAAAAAAAAAAAAAATTTCAAAAGTCATATGTCAAAAGATTTTCTTATTATTTATAATTTAATTAAATGGTCGAATATAACAAAAACAAAAGCAATTCAAAAAAAAAAAAAAAAAAAAGCTTAAAAATTGAAAAATTTCATACTTCTTTATTTCAAATATGAATAAATATGATGAAAAAAATAAATAAATAAATAAATAAAGAAAGAAAAATTTCATTTGTTTACATTTACTGTTAGTTTAATTATTTTTTTTTTTACTTTTGTTTACATTTTTATGCTATTTAATAAATTTTTGTTAATTTAATCGAAATTTTTTTCTTTCTTTAAAAGAATGAAAAAAAAAGATAAATTTAAAAAAAGAAAATGGAAAAAAAAAAAAAAAAAAGGAAATATAAATTGTTCAGAACAATATGCAATAATAGAAATGAAATGGCGGGGAGAAATTGTAAATTTAAAAATGATTTTTGCTCCAATTGTTAAATGCTATGATACTGTCACCAATATCATTGTCATCAGTAAAATTGGTGACAGTAATCGCAAACACTTCCAATTTGATCAACAAAATCACTTATCAAATTATCAAAATCATTGTTATTGAAAATTTTAACTCAAAATTATCATTGATCAGCATTATCAGAAACAGTAATCAACTGATAAGGAAGCGAAATGAATTGTGATTAGATCAGAAAAAGAATGGAATGAAATTTATTCGTTCTAATAATCATTGAAAAAAAAAAAAAAAAAATCAAGGAGATTGATTAACTGATCACCGATTATCGATAACCGATTTATTCTTTGTTTATTATTTACATAATGCTCTCTCTCTCTCTCTCTCTTTGAATAATACCATATGTGATAAATTCGATAAAAGGAAAAAGAGAAAGTAGAAATTATTTAGATTAAAATTAAGCAAATCATAAATGAGTTTTTTTTTTCTTTTTTTTTGTTATGATGCAATTATTATTACAAAATCAAAAGCGGCATGCATTTAAGATGTCATTCAATTGTGTCACCTCACCTGTTGCTCCTTTTGTAATTAAGTAGTCAGGTAGTTAGTAGGACCATTTTGAGTGATATTTGATAACGATAGATTTTGTTAATTACTTTTGATCATTTTGCTTATCATTCATATAAAAAATATAAGTTAATAAGAATTGTTGTAATTAATTATTAATATTAATTATTATCGATATAAATAAATAAATAATGCCATTAATGCATTCCAAATTTTCCTTATCGAAATTATATTTAGAAAATAATTTTAACTAAAAGTTTACTAAATTCGTTAAAAAAAATTAACTTACTAAAATTTGATAATGAATAAAAGAAGGATTGCTAAAATTAGAATATGTATATTTAATATTTAATAACTAATTGCTTAATCATTATAAAATGCAATTACTCAGTTACATAATTAATTTAATTTTAATAAAAATTTAACTTTTCATATACGCATTTTTTTATTTTCAACTATAAGTTTGTGATATGTAAAATTTTGTTTATTATATAATTTCAAATTATTAATTTAAAAGTAATTATTTTATTTTATTCCAACTTTAATAATTACTTTAATTCTAATAATTTTGTTTTGTTTTAACTTTAAAAACTAAATAAATTTCATAATTATCATTTCAAAATATTACTGATTTTGTCAAAAGAAAAAATATCAATGACTAATAGTAATAATAATAATGATTTTAGGAAAAATATATTTGAAATAACTTTGAGTGAAATTTCAATCAGAAAAAGTTGTTAAAATATTTGTGTGAAAAGGAAGAAAGAATGATTGTTTGATTATTTATTATTATTTGTTTGGTATTGTTGATGTATTTATAGTTCAAAATTAAATAATCTATTTGAATAGGATAGCAATGAAGCATAAAGCAAAAGCTTTTTCTGAAATGTGACACTAAAATTTCTCGAAATATGACAATTTTTTTTTAATAATATTACAACTACATATTTACAATATATTTTATTTACTCAGAAAAAAAAAAACAAATTTAATTTTTACAATTATAATTTACTATTAAATGTTTGAAAAATTATTTTTTTTATTAAAATTTAAACAAAATTCAATTAATTGATTATAATTCAAAATTTTAGAAATTATAAATGTAAAAAGTAAGTGTAAAAACTAAGTTAAATGTAAAAATTTCAAAACTTATTAAAATTGTAAAATGAATGATTGTTAATAATAATAATAATAAAGCAAGAAGTGTTGTGGTAAATTTGTTATAAACTAATAATTTGTGAATCATAGATAGATTGAAGAATTTAATTTGTTTTAACTAAAATTGAATGATAGAAGAAGTAGGATGAAGAATTTAAATGCATTTAACCTAATTAAAATGAATAAATTATAATTTGGTCCAAAAAGCATTTTAATTGAATTTTAAATTATTTCAAATTTGACAAAAAAAAAAAAAAAATTAACCATAACTATTCATTATTGTTTAATTAAAAAATTTAGAATACACACAAAAAAAAAAGAAACAAAAAAATTATATGAAGCATGGAAAATATTTGAGAATTTAGTAAGTTAAAAATTAATTGATAATTGATAAATGCAATAACTTAAATGATAACTGATAACTGCAATGATTGATTAGATATTGATTTAATTGAATGAGAACTTAGTGCATCAAAAGTTAAATGATAATTGATAAATACAATAACTTAGATGATAATTGATAACTGAAATAATTGATTAGATATTAATTCAATTAAATGATAATTGATAAATACAATAACTTAAATGATAATTGATAACTGAAATAACTGATTATATATTAATTCAATTAAATGATAATTGATAAATACAATAACTTAAATGATAATTGATAACTGAAATAACTGATTATATATTAATTCAATTAAATAGCAATCATTTGATCGAGTAGTATGATATCAGCGAGATAAAATGTTAGTATTACTAATATTTGATATACCTTAGAAATAGATAGTAATCACAGACTGACAAATGATAATGATCAATTCGCGGGAGGGAAGAAAATCTTAATTACCTCTCATAAAACTGTGAAAAAGAAGGAAAGAGAGATTAGAAGGGACAGAGAAACCAGAGAAAAGAGTGGATATTAATTAATGATTTATAAGAGATGAACTTGATTTGTACTTTAATATAAAGGTAAGCATTTATTATTAAATCTTAGGTATTAATTAATTTATACCTAAGATTTAATAATAAATTATTAACTGATACATATAATATCAATGTGTGAAATTTATTTTTTTTAATTAAATTAAATTTTTATGAGAAATTTTACTTTATCAATTTTGTACTGAAAATTTTATCAAAGATTTTTTTTCTAACTAAACTTTAATTTTATTTTATTAAATTAATTATTATATTAAGTATTGTTCATTATATTAATGTGTTAACTTATAGTTAGTTCAATGAAAATTATTTTCTAATTTTAATAAACAAAAATTTTCAATGACTAATAGATAAAATCATTTTTGTAGAGTGATAATACAGATAAGACGTGTACGTATGGGTCACGTGTAAATCACGTACGCTTATACTGCTAATCGTATCACAACAATTCAGTATTGACAAATTAATTAGAAATGAAATAAACAGGAAAGCTACGATTACTATGAAACATGTGGCCTAGTCCTACTTCCATTCTCATTTCTTCCATTAAAATTGAAACTAATAACTAATACTTCCTTCTTTCTTTCTTTCTTCCTCTCTCTCCCTTTGTCCCTCTCTCTCACTCTCTCTCTCTCTCTTTCCTGTTTTATTAAAATCTCTATGAAATTTGTTTAAATTCGTAAAATTTTATCTGTCCGAATGAATGATTCAGACATTAATCCATGGGTCATAAGCAAATTAATGCCACATATTTGAAGGAAATATGACTCATTTCACTTATATTTTTATAATTCTAATTTTATAGAATAAATATATTTTTTTTTTTTTGATAAAATTTAAAATATTTCATAAAATAGTTTAAATTTCAATTGTTTCCTTTTTTTTTGCTATAAGATAAAATAATAATAAAATAAGGATCATTTCACTAAATTACCATAAATTCAATTATTTTTTTCATTTTGATTTTTTTAAGACTTTAAAACCAACATTTTACTTTAAAACTTTAAAATTCAGAATGCATTTTTTTTTTTCAAAAAATTTTTTAATAACGTAAAATTTTCCATATATTTTTCTTCTTTTTTAATTTTCAATCATTTTCCAACATAATTTTTTATGTTTAACAATACTTTTGCAAATCAAAAATGTAGTAATAGTAGTAATAATAGGATGATAATTAATTAATTATGCACAATGATTGAAATAAAAAAACAATGAAAAGTCTAATTGCACGACCAATAACTTTTTAAGAAATTTTAAAAAGTTGCATTTAAGTTAAAGCAAAGTAAATATTTATTATTAACTATTAGATAAATTTTAGATAATCTCGAAGAAATCTCGAAAAAATAATTTTATTATGCTGATTAAATACTAATTTATTATCATAACACAGATAATCTAATAATTATCAAATTAAACAAATTGCAATTAAATTATCAATTTTTCTAATTTATAAAGCTTATAGGATGGTGTAAAAACGTTTTTAATAAAAAATAAAAATTTTAGTAAATTCAATAAATCAATAAAAAATTTAATAAACTTTTTTTTTTTTTTTGGAAAGGTGACAACAAAAGAGAAATGAGATAATTTAATGCTATAATAAATGAAGAAAAAAAAAAAAAAACGAATGAAATAATATATAACCATTTTAGGTGAAAAAAAAAAAAATTATTGGAAGGAAAAAAAAAAAAAAAAAAAAAAAAAATTTATAAAAAAAAAAAAAAAAAAAAAAAAAAAAAAAAACAGAAAGAGAAAATAAAAGAAATTCGTAAATTTTTATAAAAGAAATTTGTAAAATTTTAATATATATATTTTGATAAATTAATTACAGCATGTATATATAAATTAATTGAAAATAAATATATTTCTAATAATTTGATAGTATTGCAAATTTGATATGAAATTAGTTCAAGTAATTTAGACATGCAAATTCAGTGATCCGTTAAAGTGGACGATATAAAATTATGGCAATTTTAGTGTTGGCCAATGGTCAAGGCCAATAACCATCATCTAAGCAGTACTAGTACACTATCAAAAAGAGCCAATAGACAGGTTCTTCCTTCTCTCTCTCCCTCTCTCTCTCTCTTTCCTAGATTTACTTAGCAAAGTGAGAATTATTGAAGTATGACTCATTGCTTAAATTCAAATCATTAGTCATTGCAGCAATAGTGAATAGAAATTAGAAATTGAAAAGTGGGCCAAATAATTTTGGCTCAAATCCTTGGCATATCATTTAGTCTATCCACAACAACGATTGATCAAACTAGCAAACAACCATTGAAGCCTTAGGCTGAGTCATCCATCCATCTAGCAGTTGGCTGGGCTATTTGTATCTTTTTGAAAGTAACACAGAAATGCTAATTTGCATTCATTAAGCCTAAGCAATAATTTCATTTTATATTTGATCCATAAATAAAACAATAAAGGAAACGAATTTTTCATAAAATTACAATGAATAATTATTCTAAATTTAACATTTAGTGCGATAATTTACAATTGAATTGAATTGAAATACTCATTAAATGATAAATGATAATTTCATTTTTAGAGTAAAAGAAAAAAAAAGGATGTAAATTAAGTTAATTTATTAAAAAATGGTTGAAAATATGATAAATTAATTAACAAGTGATAAATATATATTTAGTTTGAAAAGTTTTATTTAATTAATTTATTAAGAAACGATAATTACATTTTCATTTTTTTTTTATGATTTTAAATTGAAATACTAATTAATCAATGAATCAATTTTAGAATGAATATGTTAATCAAATAATTAATCTAAAAAAAAAAAAATAATAATGCACTAAAAATTTTTGCAAAAAAAAGCAAATTTTTTTGTTATATGTTTTTCAATATTAAAACAAATAAATTAAAATAGTTAAAATTAAATAATTTTTTAAAATTTATTTATTTATGAATGAAATAAATAAATACACAAATATAATAAATAAATAAATATTCCCTTATTTTGATGTTTCAAATACATTATCACAATTCTATAAATTACCCGGGAAATGACAGGATGTAAAGTATTATTATTATTTGTTATTATCGTTATACTGTTTATTATTATTATTATCACTATTATTATTATTATTATTATTATTATTATTATTATTATTATTATTATTATCATTGCTATGCAATCAGAATCATTTTGCATAACAAATAAGATTGCGTCATAAAACAAAAGGTAAATAACAAACATACATAATGAATTGCTATTTCCACCAAAATATAAATGACATATTAGTTAATTGCCTGGGAAATGATTAAATATCTATTATTTATTTATTTATTTATTTATTATTATTATTTACATTCATTTCGATCATTTAGTTGAAAATAATTAAACAAAATTTGAAATAATTCCATCATTAAATTAAAGAAATTAAAACAAAAAAATAGTGAATTAATAAGCTATGAAAATATTTTCAAAGGAAACTGAAATTTCTTTTTTGAACAGAAATAAAAAAGGAAAAAAAATCAATAATGCATAAAATAAATTTAAACTTCAAAAAAAAAAAAAAGACTTTTTTTCTTACACAATTTAATATATTTTTATAAAATTGAATAAATAAATTAGCATTTTTTATTCGTACTTTAAAAAAAGAGAAAAAAAAAAATTCAAATGAGAAAAAATTTGAAAATAACAAGAAGAGTTAATTGTTGTTATTGTTAAATATTGTGTGATAAATATAAACATGAAATGAGTAAAAAATTGATTGAAAAAGAAAAATAAATAATTTAACTAAAGAAAAGAGAAAGAGAGAGAGAGAGAAAGGGACAGAGAAAAAGAGGGAGAGGGACAGAGAGAGGGAGAGAGAGAGAGGCAAAGGATAGATAAGAGTTGATAAATTGGGATATGTACAAAAATAAACAAAAGAGATAAACTAGAAAAGAAGAAAGAGTAAATTAAAATTGAAATCAAAAAGTAAATAAAAGTTAAAATGGTGATAAATGATTAATTTAGTATTACAAATTAATTACTTACTGGAAAATGTTTGATGTAAATAACAAATCATTGAAAAAGATGGAAAAATATTTCACAATTTTAACTTTTCAACTTTTATTCCAGAAAATAATAATTTAAATAATTGATTGAAAAAAATTAATAATTAGCTAAATTTCTAATCAAATTAATATACATTGAAAAAGCTATAAATTCAAGCTTCTTTGATTGTATATATTACTACATAAATATGAAAATTATATGAGAAAAATATAAAAAGAAAACAATTGAACAAATAAAAATTTCATATTAGAAAAAAATTAATTCAGTTTAAAAATTGAATTTTTAATTCAGAACTTACTGAAATAAATTTCCAAATTCAAATGATTATTTGATCATAAATAAAACTGACCGAAAAAAAAAATATTACAAATTTTTTTCTTAAAACATTGATACTTAGAAGTAAATTAAAGAAAAAAGAAGAAAAAAAAAATTGAACAAATAAAAATTTCTATTTAGAATAAGTATAACAGGTGTAATTTATTTAAGTTTTTACCTGTAATTAAGATTGAATTGAATTTCAAATTTTTGCGATAGGTATTAATTTCATTTTTTTTATTGCCTTACAAAGAATTTATTTATATTTTTCGAAAATAATTAAAAAAAAAAACAAAACAAATCGTTGCCTTCTCTCAGGTCAATACAATTAAAAAAAAGAGAAATTAATTTCATTTATTCGTAAAAATTCCAGTATTAATTAATTACTAATTAATTATTTTTTTAAATTTCAATGAATTAGCTTTGAAATAAGAAAAAAATAAATTTAATAAATTAAGAAAAAAGTAATTTATGCTAAATTAAAAACGGTCAGAAGAATACAACAAAAAAATTTATTAACTTTTTTTTGCTATTTTTTAAACGATTGTTATTATTTAATTAGATAATATTTTTTTTTTTCACATATTTTAGTTGAATTAAAATAAAATATAGAAGTAACATTGAAACTAATATGAAAATAATATCAAAAAAAAAAAAGGAAACAAAATATTTTGCAAGGAAAAATTAAAAAACAAATTGAATTAAATAAAATTATATTGGAAAAAAAAGTTAAATTCTAAGCGAATTGATTCTGATGTATTAATTAATTGCAACGTAAATTTATTCTTTTTAAAAAATTTAAAGAGGAAAAATGTTAAAAATTAAAAAATAAAAAAACCTTTAATAATTTTAGTATTAAAATAATTTGAAATAAACATAACATTAATTAAGAATATCAATTAGAAATATTTTTTTTTAGAAATTTTCTTTCTAAAAAAAAGTTTCACAACTTAAATTTGAAATAAACTCGTTTTTCATTAATTAGGAATACAAATCCGAATACAACTTGAATTTGAAATAAAGTTTTTTTTTTTTTTTCATTAATTAGGAATACAAAATCGAAATGTTTTTTATGAAATTTTTTAGAAAAAAAAAAGATAAAAAAAATTTTTGAAAAAAAAAAAAAAAAACATTCATAACTTAAATATTAGAATAATTTGAAATAAAAATTTTCATTTCATTAATTTTCACTTCATTAAAATTTAATTTAACAAACAAACCTATCATTAAAATCACGATTTCGTTGTCGCATCGAATCTCGAACTGCTTCAAGTCCTTCCTTGAAACGTGCTTGCATCCTTCGAGCATAAACCGTAATTCCACCTTCACTCATATAACCATTGCTAACATCTAAAATAATTGTTAATGAAAATTAAATTTCAATTTTTTAAAAAAAAAAAATTTTTTAAAAATTAAAAATTGCTTCATTTTCTAAAGTAAATTCAATTTTAATTAAAAATTATTCCATTTTCTAAAATAAATTCAATTTTGCAAAAAAAAAAAAAAGAAAAAAGAAAAATTACTTTATTTTCTTTAAAAATAATTAAACTAAAATTTCTGTTTCTTATTTAAATTGTATTATTTATCATTTTTTTCTTTATTATCATATTATTATTTTTTAAATATATGAGAACAAAAAAAAAAAAAAAAATTAAAATAAAAATAAATAAATTTGGGATAACTATAAGACTGACATTTGAATATGTTATCTCAATTCCTATCAACCCAAAATTTTGTAATTGAATTAAATTTTTTTTAATTGAGCTAATTGAGTTTAAATGAGTTAAAGAAATTTTTTCAAGAACGAAAATCGATAGTCTATAATTTCATTTTTTACTATTAATAAATATATTCTTGCTATGAAAATTTTTTTAGACAATAAATTTAAAAATTTTTAAGAATTTACTATTAAATAATCGTATAATTCTTTTTTTAGCATTTCATATTAATCAGTAATTCATTTCATATTAATTTGTTTTACTCGCTTTCAAACTCTTTAACTGCTACTAATAATTACGATAAAAAGTTTTATTGAGAGGGAAAAAATGAGTAAACTATAATAAAAACAAAAAATCAAAACAAAATTTTGAAAAAATTCATTAAAATATCATAAAATAAATGAAATTAATTCAAATATTAAAATGATTTTAGAGTAAAATATTAAAAATTTCTAATTAAAAAATCAATTAACAAATAAATAAATTGTTCGACTAATACTAATATTTTTTGACCAGCAAAATTTTTTTATAAAATTTCATAAACTTTATCAGCATTTATTCATTTTTTTTTTCAGTAATTTATTAAGTTATTAATTAAATTTTTACTATCAATTCAAAAATTTCTTCTTTTCAACACTCAACTAAGTTTCTTATTAACTCCTCAAAAATGATATAATTATCATTATCAAAACCCCTCAACTGCCTATCAATTCAAAATTGATATCTTTATCATTAACATTATCAACTACTATCAATTACTTATTAAAATATTCATTGTTACAAATCATATAAAATATTTTTCTAAGATAAGTATGCTATTAAAAAAAAATAATAATATGATAATGAAATAAAATTTAGTTTAATTTTAAAATTTCTTAAATTATTTATAAAATTTTTAGACAATTAATTCTCAAATTAATATAATAAATTTTTGTTTTTTTTTTTTTTAGGGAAAAAGTTGTCAGATAAAATCAAAAAAAAGTAGGTTGTTAAAGTGATGAGAAGAGGGTGATCGATGAACAGATGATTTTGACATATGCTTTGATCATACTAAAATGTCACCTTTAACCTTTTCCTTGTTCATTGCACTTTGTGCAGATGTAATTATCATCATTAACAATTTGTAATCGTTTTTAGTTAACCTTTTAACCTTTAACCTTTATCGTTTTTAAATGAAATTATTAATGGACGAAGAGATTAAATGATGAATGAGAAATTAAACGGAAATTATTAAAGGATTATTTTTATCTGTTCGCTAATTACTATCAAATATTAAGTACCATTGTTGTTTTTTTTTTTTTTTTTTTTTGTTAATAATTTGTTTGACATTTAATAATATTTAAATAGATTTTTTTTTCTGTTAAACTTTAATAATTTGATTTAAATTTAATTTAAAAAAAATATTTCGATTAATTTAAGTTATTTTCATTAATTTAAATTATTTAACAAATTTCTACATAAAATTATCAGTTTATTTGTTCATTTTTTTCTCTCTTTTTTTTATTTACATTAATTTAATGAATGATAATTATTGCTAATTTAATATGCTTAATAAATATAAATTGTTCTTTGTAAATTTTTAACTTTAAAAAAATATTTGAAAATTTAGTAATTTCAATTAGTTATGAAAAAAAAAAGAAATGGTAAAATTTGTTGTGTTAAAAAATAAAATAAAGGAAAAGAAAAAGGAGAATTTAAAAGAAAAACATTTACATGATAAAAAATTAAAATTAAAAATGATGAAAAATTGTCTGACAATTAATCATTTTAGTATATTTAAATAATTAATTTAATCTCATAATTTTAAGTATATTTAAGTAACATACTATTACTTACCAAATACAATATTAAATAATGTCAAAATTATGTTAGAACAAATATTTGAGATTTGTTGATAGTTAGATGAATGGATGGATTAACAGAGCAGATGAAAGTCCTTGTGCTTTTAATTAGCTAAAAATGCTTAGCTAGAAATAAACCATATTTCAGTTAATAATCATCTTTTACCATTTATTTTAATAACTAACAAATTTAATATCATTTCATTTTCATTAATTATTAATCTCATTGCTCTTACTCTGATCCTATTACTACTACTACAATAATAATAACAACAACAATACTAATAACACTTATCAATAGTATCACTACTAAATTCGAAAAAACAATAATACTTATCACTAGTATTACTAATAAATACAATAAAACAATAACACTTATCACTAGTGCTACTAGTAAATTCAATAGAACAATAACAATTATCACTAACTAGTAAATAAAATAAAACAATAACACTTATCACTAGTGCTACTAGTAAATTCAATAAACAATAACAATTATCACTAACTAGTAAATACAATAAAACAATAACATTTATCACTAGTGCTACTAGTAAATTCAATAAAACAATAACAATTATCACTAGTATTACTAATAAATAAATGTATACAATAAAACAATAACAGTTATCACTAGTTCTACTAACAAATGCAATAAAATAATAGCACTTACCACTAGTATTACTAATAAATAAATGTATACAATAAAACAATAACATTTATCACTAGTATTACTAGTAAATACAATGAAACAATAACACTAATAACACTCACTACTAGTAAATTCAATAAAACAATAGCACTTACCACTAGTATTACTACTAAATTCAATAATAATAATTTATACTAATATTGGTTATAATAATAAATAATAGTAATAATTAATGATAACAGTAACAATGATAACTAATAATTAACAATAATGATAATAATAATAATTTCTAATATTCAATATCACAAAGCAGTAAATGATAAAATTTATAATCCCTCAATATTTATTGTCAAATGATAGCTCTACCAATCACTGTCACATTATTTGAGATATGTTTAGATGAAAAAAGAAAGAAAGGATGGATGAAGATGGAAACGATAGCTTAGAGATTAGAAAATTTAATTTATAATTTATTTTTTAGATGAAGATTTTTTTTTTTTTTGCACTAAGAAAATTACGATTGATTCACAATAAGTTTGTAAAATGTATTTTGAAAAAAAAAAAAGAAGAAGAAGCATTGATTGAAGAAATTTTGAAAAGCTATGCTAACACTTTTAGTAAATCAAAAATAATGAAAATAAAAAAAATGAAAAAATTGATTGACAATATAATTTTGTTTCATTAATAGTACTAAATTTTATTTACATTATTTTCACTTTACTAATATTTTAGTAATGTTTTAGGAATAAATCTAATTAACTAAATAATATTAATAATTGTTATAAAATATTAATTCAAAAAAAAAAAAAAAGGAAATTATTTTCCGGATTGTATATAGTAATGAATTTTAGTAATATATTATTAATAGATTTTTTTTTTTCATTATCATTTCTCTAATAATTTAAAAATTAATTCATTTTAATGAATAATAATACTTTTTCATATTCATTTTGCCTTTTTTTTTTCTTTCTTAAATGATTAACTTATTTTTTATTCTCAGATAAATAGAAAATTTAAATAGAAAATGATTAAATTATTTTTATTATCAGATAAATCGAAAAAATAAAAAATGAAAAAAAAAAAAAAAAGAAGAAATTATTATTTTTTTTTTAAAGTGTCACTTACCAGCTATTGATAATTCCGGAAGAGTAGCATTAGCACCAGTAAATAACGGTTCACCTTCAGATAAATAACCGGAAGGACGATAAGATGGTGCAGCACTAGCAGCAGCACATCGAATTGTTGTTGAAATGGAATCTAATGAATCATCACTGGTTGAACTATCTTGTAGTGATCCTCCTTGTAAATAAAAAGATTTATAGAAAAGGTTAGTTAGAATGAATGTAGCAGCAGAACAAATCATTCACATACCACAAATGTAAACAAAAAATAAAAATGAGGAAAACAAAAAAATCGATAGTAAATATTTGTGAATGTTTGACAATTAATAATTTCACACCATTTATTTATTTTATTTTAGTTCATAAAAAAAATATATATATAAAATAATGATAAAAGAAGATTTTTAAAGATTAAATTAATTAGAATACAAAATGGAAATTGAATATTTGAAAATGAATTGGAATGTCAAAAATTACAAATATATTAATTTTATTAATTTTTAACACTTTTTATTTATTCATATTAATTTTGCAATATATGTATTTTTCTATTAAAAACTTTTTTTTGAAACAATAAATAATTTTAATGTTTTTTTTTTTCTAATTTCTAAAAATTAAAATTTCTTGACAAGAAAAAGTGTTGAATAAATGAAAAAGAAAAAATTAAAAAATAATGTAGGAAATGTAGCTCAAATCAAATTTTAATTATTTACATATAGCTAAATAAAATTACCATCTTATAAAATAAAATTTGCAAAGTTGTAGTGCTGATTGGATTAATTAAATCTAATAACGATTGGTTAAATTAATTATTCAAATTAATTATCAATTTTGTGGTTATTAGTGGTAAACAATTTTTCCAAAGCACTTTTTCAACGAAAAAATAACCAAATTTCATTTTAAAATAATTTGAAAATAATTCAAATTGTTGTTTAAAATTTATTATAAATTTCTTAAATTATATAAGGAACTTTTTACTAATAAAATAATATTAATAAAATTAAAAATAGCAACAAAAAATAAATAAATAAATAAAAAATAGGTAATTCTAATAAGTGTAAAATTATTTGTAAATATTTGTCTAAAAAAAAAAGCAAAGCAAACAAAATTGTCAGAGAGTTATGTTAGAAAGAAAGTGACCTCATTAATTATACTAAGATTTAGGATATTTTCTTACATATAAACAATATGTCTGCTTTTCATTCAGGTAAATACATAAGTGCACAGGTAAGCACAGGTAGCACAGGTACTCTTAGTAAATTGGAAAAACATCAATCATATCATCATTATCTCATCTAATGACCGTAACAATTATTCATCATATCAATAATTAATCATACTACTGATAATATAATAATAGTTAAATTAAACATTTAGCCAAAAAATATTTGTTAGTTAAAATTTTATCAAAATTTAAACTTTTTTAATTATTGTTAAACTGCTAAAACTTTTGAAATCAAAATTAAAATTACTGCTAATAAAAGACTAAGTAATTTAAGATATTAAAAAAGATTATTTATTAAGTAAGTAAGTAATAAGTTATAACAAAATACTTTCAATATTATCCATAAGTAAGTTATCTTTTTTTTTTTCAACTAAACCTTTTTTATTATTTAATCCTTCAATTGGAAATATTTAAAATCAATTTATAATATTTAATTACAAAATTTAATGTTAACAAAAGTATGAAGAAAAAATAGATTTGATAAAATTTATTAAATTATAATTTATATGCAATAAACACAATTGTATAAGTGAAAAAGTTAGCAAAATGAAAAAAAAGTTTAATTTAAATAATAAAAATTAAAACCAAAAAAAAAGGAAAATTAATAATTTTATTTTCACTCTAAAATTTTTAAAATGTTTTCCGTCTAATTTGAACTATCGTTTAAATATAAATTATATAAAACGATTGTTATTATATAAAACATTCTTTAAATTATACCATTAAAAATTTTTTGAAAGACTTTAATTTTTCATTTTAATCCTTTAAAAATAATAAACTTTTAACAAATTATTTATTTCTTTTATTTTTTTCTTTATAAACTAAAGTTTTTTTCAAATTAAAATATTAGCAATCAAATTTTTTGCATATATTATTGATATTATTTTACAATTTCTTTTCTATTTAAGAAATATTTTAAGAAAAATACAAAAATTTCTATGAATTACAATAGTTTCATGCATTTTATATTTTGAAAAAAGAAAGGAAAAGAAAAAAAAAGATGAAAATTAAATTTTTAATTAAAATTACCATTTCTAGTAACAGATGAATGAATCGTTTGTCGAGATGCTTTTCCATTTCTTACAACAATATTATAAGGTGGTGGTACCAATGGTATAATTGGTTCCATTGGTGGAATTTCCGTAAGATCTGATCCGGAAAATGTAGAAATATTTTTACTCTTTGAAGAAGTAGTAATTTCTGATGTTGTCACACAACAATTAGAATCAAATGTTGTCTCCAGGCGACTATTTGTTCGTACAGGTGGCATTGGTCTATAATAAATATCAAATGATAATAATAGGTAGAAAAGAGGATGATGACAAAATGAGTAAACAATAAGAAATTAAACTGCACCTAAAATATTTTTATGCTCCTTTATAATACAATAATATTATATAAATATATTATAATAAAATAAAAATTAAATTGAATATATAAATAATTTTATCTTTATTTATAATACAATAATATTATATAAATATATTATAATAAAATAAAATAAAATTTAAATTGAATATATAAATAAAAATTTTATAATTGTATAAAATTATCTCTCATTTAATTTTTTCATTTAAAAATAATTTAAAACTTACGGTGGTTTTTTATCTAATGCAATAATAGGATTAGAAGTTGAATTATCTTTTAATGGAATTGTTTCATCAATTGGATTATATATAACACTTGCATTATCAGAATCACGACTACCTGATGTTGTTGATGTATCACTTTGATTATCACCATCTAAAAATTTTTAATTATAAATTATATTTCAATCAGAAAAAAAAAAAAAAAAAAAAAAAAAAGAAAGAAAAACATATTAAATAAATTATTTGGTTAAATTATAATATAAAAAATGAATCATACATTAATTTATATAACATTAAAAAAAAAAAAAAAAAGTAAACAATATCATTTAATAAAAGTATTTTTATTAAAATTAATTTTAGAAAAAAAAACAATCAATAAATATTACCAACGATACTATTTGATGTTTGTGGTAATTTAATAACACGATGACTCATCATTGGACTTACAACACCAACTGTTGGACTTTGTGTTGGAGCAACGTTTTTGATTGTTTTAGTCGTTGGAAGTGTTAATGGAACATTTCCAATTATTGATGATGATGATGATGATGGTGGTGGTGGTGATGATGATGATGATGATGATGGTGGTGGTGGTGATGATGATGATGGTGGTGATACATTTGAAGTTGACATCGGTGTGGCGGTGATTATCTCAGATTGTTGCTCAGAATTTAAATTGGATGAAAGTTGTTTTGATGGCAATGAGTTATTATCATTTGTTGTAGGTGAATTTTGAGGAATTGTTGTTGTTACAGGTGATGGATGTTTACCTGGCGGTGATGTCAAATGTGTAACTTTTGGTGCTGTAATTCCTTTAACAGCTAAGATTGGCTTTGATTCCTGTAAAAAAAAAAAAAAAAGAATTGAAAAACAAAAAATTATATATTTGTATAAAAAGTAAATGAAATTATAGTAATTAATTTAATGAACTGATTAAATTAAATTTTTGTAATATAATCAAAACAATGATAAATATGTTATATTATCACATTAAAAATACTATTAAATATTATTTTAATTTTCAAATTATTTTATTTTAAATTATATATGTTTTGTTTATATTATGTTTAATATGTAAGATTAAAATTATTAAAATGATAAATATGCTATACTATCACATTAAAATTACAATTAAATATTATTATACATTTTGTTAGATATTATTTTAATTTTCAATTATTTTATTTTATTTCAAAAATTAAAAATACATATATATATATATACTTTATTTATTATACTATATTTAGTAGTATAAAAACATCTTTTTTCTTCTTTTATAACAAAATTTCATTCACTTAATATAATTTATATTTGAATTTAATTATAGCTACGTTGTCACATTGTCACATTAGATTTTCTATATTTTATTCAATTTGTTTACGTTTATCAAATATTGAAAGAATGAAATGAAAAGTGTGAAAGAATGAGACGAATTGAGGAATAAATGAAAAAAGAAATTAGCTATAAGAGAATTTATTATTAATAGTAGTAATACTTATTTTTTATTTTTATTATTAATACTTAGTAGTATTTATTATTAATAGTGATACTTAATAGTAAAAGTTTGAAATGTAATTATTACAAGGAAAAGTTCAAAGTTTAAATATTCAATTAAACATTATTAAGTATTAATTACTGAGAAAATATTTCTTTTTTAATTACTGTATAAGATATTTCATTACAAATGTAGTAATACTTATTTTTTATTTTTATTAGTAATACTTAATAGTTTGAGCCTATCAATTAGCTAAATTTTCATTCTATAATTATTAAAAAGTTTGTTGAAAAAAAAAAATTAAATAGTAAATTATTTCAAATTCTTCCTTCAAACTTAAGTTAAGGATTAAAATAACTTAATTCTTCAAATAACTTACTTCGAAAAGTTTACAATCTTCAACACTTTTATCATGCACAAAAGTGCTATGAAAAGATTAAATCATTATCACTGATATCATTATCACTTATGATCATATCATATTGTTTTAGGACTAAGTTTGTTTAGCTATTTTAGAAAAGATAAATATATTTAGGATTAATTTGCTTTTATTTACTTAGCTTTAGTGTTCTTTTATTCGTAAACAAAAGTAAAGGACAAAAAATAAATGAAAAAAATAAAAAATGAAGCAATTGAAATTTACAAATTTCCAAAATTATTTTATTATATAAACTAATATGAATAAATAATTGAAATAAATTAAATAAACAAAAAATTTTTAACAAAAACAAAAATAACAAAAAAAAAAAAAAATGCGAAAAAAGTTTTAGAAAGAAAAAGAAAAGAAAAAGTATAAAATAAGCTAATAATATTAAATGAAAAAAGCAACCATTCATGCAATCATTTTGCGCCCATATCGATTTGCTGCTCATTTGTCATTCATTTCAATTTTTTAATTTTTGATTAAATTAAATGAAAAGAATAAAAAGACGAAAATAATAGAATAATATTAAATTGCAAAAACCATTGAAATGTCAAATTAAATCTAACATAAATTCAATTAATCATTACACTTACTTAATATTTTATGTAACTTTAAAAAAAAAAAAAAAATGACTGTCACATGAAAAATGAACATTTATTTATTGCTTAATTTTGCTAAAACAGCAAATTTTGTTATTTTTTTTTTCTTTTTTATTTGTTTATTTTTTGTTTGCAATATTTAACCTATAAAGTTTATGTTATAAATCAATTTAAAATTATATCATAAATTATAAATATCAATTTAAAAAATCAACAATTTTACTAAAGATTAATTCATATTAACTTATTTGAATTAAAATATTTTAATAAAGATTTGATTAGTTAAAGCAAAAAGATGAAAATTTTTAGCAAAAAATATTTTTAATATAAATTTAAAAATTACATGTGGACTTGATGGTGGTTGAATTGTTCCACCATTGAAACGATGATGATTATTACTGATAGTGTTTTGTTGTTGAAATGTTAACGTGGATAGTGTTCGAGTTTTTGAATGATTTAAATTATTGGTTGAATTTTTTGATGATGCTGAATTGAGACTCATTGAGGACGATTCGGCTGATGAGAGAGGTGATGAACTACCAAAACCAGCATATGCCGAATCTTCTTCCGAACTTTTTGAAAATCTATAAGAAATACTCATCAATTCATTCATTCATTGTTAAACGAATAAATTTAAATGGATTAAAGAAATTATTTAAGTATTTTTAATGCCACTTCTTTCATATTTTCATTTCTTCACTTTATTGGATTAATTTAAATTGATGAATGAATGTTAAAAATTTTTTTTTAATCCATTTGTTACACTTATAATTTAATAAAATGAAGGTAAAAAAAAAATTGAAATCAATAAATTTGTCAAAATTTTCTTTTCTTTTTTAACTAAAAAATTTTAGCATTAAATAAAGATGTATTTAGTAAAAAATTGAAATGATTCAATAAAATTTTAATATTAAATGAAAAAAAAAGAAAAAAAAAATCGACAAATTCATTTGTTTATTTTCTCATTCAAAAATTTGCTTTTTTTTTTTTCTGTTCAAATTTATTTCCAATTTAAATTCTCAAAATTATAATAAAAGTTTAAACTTTATTTTTTTTGCTAAAAAATTTCCATTCATTTTTCCATTTCTAATTCATTTGCTTGTTAAAAAAATAAAATTATTTTTTTAATACAATTTTTTTTTTGTTGTTCTTTTTTTAAATAAAACAATTTGGTGAATATTTCGAGAGAATCATTATTCAAAAATTATTTCATATTTCTACTATGGTTGCAGAAAAATAAGAGTAAACTGAAAAGTAGATAGACGTGTATTTACGTCATATGACGTAATCGAATTTTAGTTTTATTACAATGAAATAATAGTATTATCTAAAGATTAAAATACAATACGTTAGAAATATGATTGTAATAATACTACACTATTATGATAATCATATCATATCATATCATTTTCACAACCATTTCTATCAGACTTAAAAAATACTGCAAATTTATATTTTTGACAAATATTTGACAGATATGAAAATATTACAAATCATATTATCATATCACATGATATAACTATTATTGTAATATAAATTATAACTTTTATTATAATTAACATATGTTATAGTTAAATATAAAATTATAACTTTTATTATACAAATATACATAATGTTATAATTAAAGTTTAATTTTAGCAAATATAAATGTTTCAATTTATTATGTTTATTATTAATTAATGCATAATTTAGAAAGATAGAAATTTGAACCGTTTATTTTTCACAGGATCAAGATTTGTTGATTGTTTTAATTGGGCACCAGATGATTGAGGAGTACGACTGGATGATGCTCGTTTAACTCCTTGCAAAGCGGTATTTGAGCAGGATGATGATGATGAACTACTTTGAAGTGGTAAACCACTTGCGCGTACACCTAAACCCTGTAAACAATAAACAATAATACTATCTCAGTGATATTAGTTTAAAAATTTATTGATAATTTCATTTTATCTCATTTAACCTATATTTATTTCAAAATTTTCCAATTAACTACTAAAATTTAGCAAAATAATAAAAATTTAAATCAAACAAAAAAAAAAACTCGAAGAAGTAATGAAAAAGCTTTTTTCTATCTCTTTTAATTCATATTTAATTCAAAACTTTCTAATTAAATATTAAAATTCAGCAAAAAATAATATATGAAAAAGCCTTTCTATCTGCTTTTAGTCCACATTTATTTCAATATTTTCCAGTCAAATAATAAAATTTAACAAAATAATAAAAATTTAAATCAGAAAAAAAAAAAAAAAAAAAGGAAAAAAGAGACAGAAAACTCAAAGAAATATAAAAAAACAATGAATGAAAATAATTTCTGACATTTCATTCGTATTTGAATATAAAATATATAATATATTATTTAAAAAAAAAAAAAAATAAAAAAAGGAAAAAATTTAATTTGAAAAGAATATTAAATTCTGAAAGATTAGATGAAATTTATGTGAAATATAATTAATGAAGTGTAAAAAAAAAGAAAAAAATTAAAGTGAAAAATAGACATTATCAAATATCATATAAATTTTAATAATAAAATAATGTAAAAAAAAAAAAAAATTAAACCTAAATTTGATAAAATAATGGAATAAATGAAAATATTAAAGTAAAATGTAATAGTAAAAATATTATCTAATAAAATACGATTTTTTTTTTGACAAAAATTTATTGTTCCATTTCAATTCATTTATTTAAAATTCTGTTTTTTTTCCACGTAGTCTTTAGTCATTCATACTCAAAAATTAATTAATTAATTAACTAATTAGTGATACTCAATTATTAGAATATGAAATTATTGTATGAGTTTGAAGTTTTTTTTTTTTTTTTTTGCAACTAATTTCACTTTCTAAAAATAATATTATCAGCCCGGTCCACTCATTGGTCATTCCATAAAAATGGACAGGTAAGCACTATAATTTTTTCTCACCTATCATCATTTCATTACTACTTTCATCTATTTTTCCATCCTTTTTATATCATTTTTAATTTACATACATGCATATGCTTACCTGTACGGAATGACCAATGAGTAATCTTATTGAAATATATAATTTTTCAAAAGTTTCATTTTTATTTCAAAAAAAAAATTTAACCATTTTATTTTATATTTAATTCAGGAATACTTATTTTAAAAGTTCAATTAATTAATTAATTCATTCATTTTCTCTATATAAACATATATACATAGTATTATAGATAAATTAATCCTAAAATGAAACCCAAAAAAAAGGAAAGAAATATATTATTTGATATTGATATAAAGCATAGTAATTTAAATAACTAAAAATATTAATTATAATTTAATTTAAATAAATTTAAGTTAACTTCATTCTAAGTTGCATATTCAATTCATTTCACATTAAATAATTTCAAATTTTATCATAATTCAAAATAAAAAAGAAAATATCTGTGTAGGTAAAGAAGAAAATATAAAAGATGGTATTTATGTTTTCAAAAATTGTTAAATATATGAATTGAAAATGAAAAAAGAAAATGGAAATGAAGGGAAAAAGGGAAGAAAAAATATGGGCAAATATCGAGGGAAAAAAAAAGGGCAAAGAATGAAAAAAAAAAAGGATGAAAAAAGGGAAAAAAAAATGGGAGGCATATAAATTAAAAATAAATGTATTACTATCAAATTAATGTGTTTGCTTAATTTTATTTTCAGTATTTCAATTCCAGTATTTAATTCCATTATATTAGTTCATTTATTTGTACTGTATTAATTCCAGTCTTTATTTATTTCTATTATATTAGTTCATTTATTTGTATTCTATTAATTCCAGTCCTCATTTATTTGTATTATGTTAGTTGACTTTATTGATTGATTTATTGATCGATTAGCTGATTGATCATTTAATTCTTGTTTTCTTCTTTAAATTTATAATCCTTATATTTCATATATATATATATATATATATATATAATATATATATATATATATATATATATATATATATATATATATAAACAAAAATACCTTAATTTAATTATTTTACATCTGATCAAATCTAAAATACAGTATTAAACTGTTTTTCACAAAATGAAAATTCAATTAGAATAAAATTAAATTATTAGATGGGGAAATGATTGATTGGCATTCAATCAATTAATTCGCAATTTTTTTTTAATTTTTCTAAGAAAAAAAAAACAAATCAATATTTTTTCATGGCAAATAAATATTTATGTTTAATAATTAAAATTAAATTAAAACACTAATGATTTTGTAAAAATTGCACAATAATTGAATGATAAATTGTTAGGAATATTACTATTTATTAAAAATTTATTTATTATTGCTTCTTGATGGATTAAAAATTCCTAAACAATTTTGAAAATACACAATGAAAATAAGAAGGATTATTTAAAGCTATTCAATTGCTGCAGGTGGATATTTAAATAATTTGAAAAAGACTAATCGCTCAAAATCAACTACAACCAAGTGTTTCATTGTTTACTTAAGAAATTTGTAAAATTTGTTTTTATTGTATAAGTAAAATTTTAATACTATAAAATACAATTAAAATATTACGGGTAATTAATTTTAGGTATTTGAAGAATTAATTTGTTAAAATTTAATGCATTTATTCATACTTATTTTTTTTTTTTTTTTTATTTTTTTCTTAATAATTCTTTTCCAATTTTTCTTTTTTTTTTTATTCCGTAAATAGTTATAATATTTAATATTTTAATACGATTTGTTTCTTTTTTTTTTTTTTTGAAAAATTTTTTTTCCTCAGGATTATATGATGGAATATAATTTTAAAAAAAAAATAATAATAATTAATATTTACAATGAATTTAATTTTAGTTTCATTAATATTTAAAAAAATAATATTTTACAATGAATTTAATTTTAATTTCATTAGTAATTTTAAAAAAATAATATTTTACAATGAATTTAATTTTAATTTCATTTTAGAAAATTAAATGAAAGAGAAAGAAAAAAAGACAGAAAGATAGAAGAGAATAAATGAATGAATTATTTAAAGCTTAAAATATAGGAAAGGAAGTAATTATAAAAAAAAAAAAAAAAAAAGGCTAGAAAAATGAACGAAATTTTATTGACAACCGGAAGAATGGATAGGCTTTTTAAATGTTACTTAAAGCATTAATGACCAAACAATTAAAAGCATTTTTCATTCCTTTTTTTCTCATTCTCTCTCCCTTTCTCTCTGACTCCCTCTCTCTCTCTCTCTCTCTTTATTGTCACCTCATTTTTCATCCTTTTAAAGCTAAAAAAATTAAAAATTAAAATTATTTCATTTTGAAACCTTTATCGTATCACGTGTAGCTCCTGATGCTATCGATGTTGTAGGTGGAATTTTCCGTGTTACTTTCACGTTGCCATTTTTAGGTTTGATTAATCCGGAAACTTTTCCTGTTTCATCATTATTTTGATTGATAGCTAATTTTGAATTTTTCATTTCATTAATTGTCGTTTTTTGATAAGCATTTGTTGTTATTCCTCTCATTCCAACTGCTTCCACTGGTGAATATGTTTTATTCTAGAAAAAAAAAAAAAAAAAATGAAATTTATTACCAAAAAAAAAAGATTTTTTTATAATTTTCATTTAAATTGCAAAAAAAAAAAAAATTTTTAAATATTTTATAAATTTTTATAAAGAAACACTTATAAGAATTAAACAAAAAAAGAAAAAAAGAAAAACAATTTGATAAAAAAAGAGAGAAAATGTCTTTTTTTTCTTCAATTTATTCAAAAATTTATCAAATAAAATATGTTTAATTTTTCTCTTTTTTTTTTTTTTTTTAAATTTTATAGAAATTGTTGATATTAGTAAAATATAAAATTCAAGAAAAACATTGATTATTTGAATTGAAATTCCAAATTAATTAATTAAGTATAAAGATGGAATATAATTGTTGCATTAAATATTACATTTATAATTTTACACTTTGCTTATTTTTATTTTACCAAAAAAAAAAAAAAAATATTTAAAAAAAGAATTAAAAGATTTGAAAAGTTGAATGAACAAATAAAAAAATTGCCAAATTAAATTTTAAAAAAAAATTTTTTTTATTTGTTTAACAATAAAAATTTCCTCTTTTTTTTTAAAAAAAAATACTTTCCATATACAAAGGCATAGTTTGGTAATTTAAAAAACGAATAAAATAAAAAAAAAAAAAAAAAATTGTTTGTAACAAACAAAATTTATTTTAGCTTTTTTTTCTCTCATTTCCTTCTTTTTTTTTTTTTTGCAAAAATTTATTTGCAAAAATTTTTCATAAAAAAAAAAAAAAAAAAAAATTTGATGATAGAATAAAAATAAAAAAATAATGATATGATGTGATTTAACCAATAATATATCAATTCATGAATTAATGTGCATAGTTTGATGTAATTAAAATACATATATAAAATTTCATAGGTCAAAGAAAAAAATTTTTTTTTTGAATTTTTTTAAATCCATAAAAAGTTTCCTTTCTTTTTTTTTTTCATAAAAAATATTAAATTTTATGATTTAAAAAGAAAAAAAAATAAAAAAAGAACAGACAGACATATGTATGTAAGTATAATACATTCCAATCGTTTATATAAAAGAGAGGAAAAGACATTTTTTTAAATTTAAAAAATTGGATGAATGAAATGAACGATAGCATTGTAAATACTAATACTACTTTTATCATTTCCTTTTTCATTTTTTGAAATATTTTTTTTTTTTTTTTAAAAAAAAAAGAAAGAAATATCTCTTTGAATAGATCTTTTCAGTTGTTTTTTTTTTTCTTTTTTGTTATTATCTTTTTCCTTTTTTCTTTTTTAAAAAAAAAAAATCCGAAATAAATAAAAAAAAAAAAAGAGAAATTTTGTGAAATAAACTAGTAATGCTAATAATTGGTTGATAGAAAAATGAAAGAGAGAGAGAGAAAGAGAGAGAGAGATGAAATTGGCTAACAAATCGATAACTTTAAATTTGATCAATAAAAAATATAAAAAAAACAAAAAAAAAAAAGAAGCATTACGGACTTTTATGTGTTATTTTTATAAGATTGCCATCATTTCTATATTTTCTATTTTTTTTTTTTAAAAAAAAGCAAAAGCAAAAAAAAAAAAGAAGAAAAAAAGATGAAAGAGAAATATTTCGACAAACTGAAATGTTTATTGTTGTTTTTTTTTTTTTTTGTTTTTTGTAAAATATAGTCTTATAAAAATTTTGAATAGTAAAAATTTTAAAAAATCCATTTAAAGCAATTTTTGTTTAAACATTTCTTTTTTTTTTCTTTCTTAATCATTTTATTTATTAATTTGTAAAGATGATAAAAGGTATTGGCATTTTTTTTTTTTTGAATCTTAAAATTCAAAAATTTTAAATGATAGAAATTCATTTTTTTTTTCGTTTTTCGTTTCTTTTTTTAAAAAATATTTTCATATAATTAATTTTTAAAAAAATAACCGATCGGTATGGCATTAAGAAAAGATGGAAATAGCCAATAGGTAAGATCAAAGCAAAGCGCAAATATTAACTATACCCAAAAAATTATCATTAAATTATCATCATTACTCTAATCATTAAGATATATCGTAAATAAAACGATTGATGAATGTAGGAAATTCTTAAATTATGAATTCAGAAAACTATTCCGAAAATTTGATTTACAATTTATTCTGCTAATATGAAATTAGATAAACATCAAAATGCATATTAAAATGACTAAATTAAAATTAACAAAAACAAAAAAACAAACTTTATCTTTATTTCCAGTAAAAAATTTCATTTTGAGCATTTTTTGATTGTTTGTAGATGATGAATTTGTGATGCTACTTGATGCAGAAGTTGAAGGAGTTGTGCTGATGGTTGATGGTACCGAGGTACATGTACCGGAACTAGCTAATGAACTACTTCGAGATGATGGCCTTGATTGATCATTATTATTCAATCTAAAAAATGCTATCCTCCATAAATTTAAACTTTTTTATTCTATCACTAATATCGTATAGTAATTAATAATAATAGTAATAACAATAATAATAATAATGGTAACAATAGCAATAATAATATTTAAATATCAAATAAACTCTTAATATTCATTTAAAATATCACATGAAAATAATGACTTCATTTAAATTTTGTTAAAAAAAAAAAAAAGAACTAGTTAAAGTAAGAGTTAAAATGTTATATTATAAATAATTTCAAAAGAGATAGTATTTTAAACAATATGTTCAAAATAGATATTTAAGAGGAAAGTAGAGGAAAATTTATAAAATAAAAATTAAAATTATTTCAAAAAAAAGGTATAAAATTTTAAATGAAATTTTAAAATGTGGTAATACCCGGATGTTTTAAATGTTGGTGGATGAATACGTATGACAGGTGCACGAAGTGCTGAAGCTTTTGGTGATGCAAGTTTAGATTTTGCACTTGTGGTTTGCACCGAATAACCTAAAATAACTTATAAATAAATATTATATCTTACAGTAAAACGAACAAAAAAAAAAAAAAAAAAAAATTGATTATTTGAAATGGAAATGAAAAAATATAATTAATTACACATTAAATATATATTAAATTTTAACAAATTATAAAATATTAAAATTTTAACAAATTCTTAAAATAAAGTTATATATAAGAAAGAAAGAAAGCAAAAGAGAGAGAGAGAGAGAGAGAGGAGAGAGGGAGAAAGGAAGGAAGGTATAATCAATTTTTTTTGAAAAAATAATTTTAAAAAATTTTAGAATATAATAAAAAATAAAAAAAAAAAAAAAAGATATTTAATTTTGTAAAGTGAAAGTCAATGAGAATGAAAATGACAAAACGATAAAATATGTTAGTATCAAGGATGATTTTTTCTTTTTTTTCCATTTCTTTTTATAATGATATTCGAAGAAGAATTATCTGATTGAAAAAAAAAGAAGAAAGAGAGAGAGGGACAGAGAAGGGAGAGAGAGAGAGAGAAATGAATAGTTTTGAAGGGAAAGATGATAAAATGAGCTTTTTTATTTGGACAAAAGAAAAAAAAAAAACGAAAAGGAAAGGAAGGAATGAGAAAAGTTTCACAAAAAATCGATTAATTATTATCAGTGTTTGTGATTATTTCTGAATATTATTATATTAGTAAAAAAAAAATTTCTAGTTATCAATAAAATTAATTAATACTATTTGATTACTGATAATATTTGTTATCATTACTGTAATAAAGTAATTATAATTTGTTATTCTTTTACAAATGTTACTCTCAAAAATAGTTATTAGTTATCATTCTTTTAAAGTATAATTGTTTATGGTTGTTTTTTTTTTTTTCTTTTTTCTATGATATTTTTTATTTAAAATTACTTGTCTATTTAGTATAATGTTTTTATCTATACATTTTTTTTCATTACTTAATTTACATAAATCGAAATACTGATTAGCTAAATGTATAAGAAAACTTGGCCAAAGTGTTTGTTGTATGAAATAATTTCAAATTGTATTTAAATTTATTTTTATTTAATTAAAAGATAAATTTTATTAAAATATAATGAAGGAGAAATGTTAGAGCTGTGCATAGATTGCAATCATTTTTATTACACTTATTTATTCTGCACTTATCGCTTCATTACCTAAAATACTTACTTTAAAAGCTTTAAGTAGCCATCAATTAATGCCAAGAGATAATACTTGACTTCATTAACAACAAATAGTAAATAGCCAAATGGGACAATATATAGAGCCAAGAATGAATGTTAGAATAACAATTGGGCATAAAAGCTATAATATACTTCAAACTTTAGACTATAGACTATTTGATATTTAGTTATTATGCAAATGGCTTCTTCAACTTTGATGCTTAGCAAAACTTTTACCATAGCTAGCCAAATTCCCAGGTGAAATAGCCTCTAGGCTATGAAAAATGAAAGAAATTTCGTCTGTTACTATTATAAAAGCTAGGCTTAATTGTTAGAATAGTCCATTAAGTTAAATTTTCATATTTAAAATTAGCAATTTAAATGTTTACAATTAATGAGAATCACATTTTTGAAATAACAAAATTTACTAGTAGATCATATATTATAGAGTAATAACTCATAAATTAAATGGACCATATATAAATAACAGAGTAATTAGGCTTTGTATTTTAAAGTAAGTTAAAAAAAAAAAAAAAAGAGGTGCAACAGATGAATTCAAATGAATCAATAAAAGCTAATCAAGTTATTGTTATCAAATATTCTAAATTATTTTTAAATTTAAAAAAAAAAAAAAGTTCCAATTAAATTACTAACTTTTTGAAAATTTCATAAAATTTTTGTTTTTCAAAATATGAAATAAAAGAAATGCTTAAAATGCAATGAAAAAAAAATTTTTTAAATTAATCATAGAAAAGTGAATATTAAAGAAAATGATGAAATGTAAATAAATTATTCATAAAATTTATAAAAAGTCAGCAAAAGCAATTGGAATAATATTTCACTGTTTGCCATCGTACAAAGTTTGTTTAGGAAAATGTTTGTCTAATTGAAAGTGATACAAACATTCATCTATAAAGCATAAATCGTATTTTCCTTTTACCTCTAATCGAATCATTTCAGGAATGGGAAATGTAAAAGTGACATTTCAACGGAGCATGCAAAGCATGCAATAAAGGATGCAAGTTGTGCATGCAAAGTGAACGAGCAATGAAAAAGAAAAAACACTAATATATATCTTTCTTCTAAATTTATTTTAATTATAAATGAAGCATTTTTAACTTTTGAATATTTGCAAATCATTAAAAAAAAAAACCATTTTTATTATCTTTCAATTAATTTTTATCCATAAAATAAAGATAAGAAATTAGTAGAAAGATGATAATAGATTTATGGAAGTATAATTTTTTAAGAAAACGTTCTTCAGTTCAATTTTACCTATAATTTTAATTATTTAAAAAGAAACAGATCACTTTATGTTTTAATTGTAACCAACTTTCTTGCTCAAATGATAGATTTCAGATGACTAATCAATCGATGGCTTAAATTTGTTGATTTTTTATCTAATTGATTTATTAAATCTTTTACAAAAACACTGCTAACATTGTTACTATTGAAAATTTTATAATATATTTTAAATGTTTCATGTAAATACCAAATTAATATGATCAAGTTTTTTTAAAATATTTTTAGCTTCAATTCATTTTATAGCAAAATGCATCAGTTTGGATGGAATATGAAGTTGAAAGTACTTCAAAAGAAAAATGCCTCTCAAAATCAAAAAAAAAAAAGGAAAGAAATTGTCTTCTAATAAAAAATAACATTCTAGTTGAGAATTTTTAGAAAGACGATAACGAATAAATCAATGAGCAACGTGGAGAACGTGAACTTGTTCCATGTGTTTCACGTAACACGTGTGAGAGAATACTTAGAAGTAGTAAGGAAATGGACAGTGCTCATATTCATCTTTTCATAAGATAGATTGTTAAGCATTTGAAAGAAATTGATCATATATTCAATCAGAATAAACAATGGAGGTTCACGCGTTACGTGATTCTTGCGTAAAGACTTAAAGCAATACAAGTATGAAACTTTAATCATGAATAAAGAATACCTAAATGAATTAACTGATAATATTTATCATAAATAATCATTCGTTGCCACTTAACTTTTAGGATAAAATTTGCTAAAATCATTGAAAATAACGTAATTGATTAGACCGCAATGCTGTAATCAGTAATATAATTATTTTAGGTATTATTTCAGATAATAATGGCTATATTTTCTATTCTCATTTAGTTCAGTTAATTGACAAAAAAAAAAAAAAAAAAAATGAAGAAGAAAATTGAACGAGAAAAGAAAAAAGGAGGAAGTATTCTCTAAGGGAAATGAAACTATTTCAAATGGGTTATAATAGTCAAATTCACACCACGGATTAAATAGAACAGAAGCAAAAAAAAAAAAAATAAGAATTGATTTATGAATTTTAATGACACTAGCGTCATTTGCTTCATTTTTAATTCCCATAACAAAACATTCCTTAGGAAATTTCATTTAAAAAAAAAAAAAAACTAATACATAGTGGTTTGTTTATTTTTTTCTTTTGTCAAGAATTTTAAAGAAATTTGACACAAATTGTCACATAGAAAAATAGTATAATCTGTTCATTGTATTGTATTCTACAGTATTCTTCACTTCTTAGCTAACAATGCACTGCATTCTACAGTACCTCTCACTTCTTAACCAACATTATACTGTATCATTCGATTCTGAGCTAAGATACTCTACTGTACCCAAATACCGTATTCACATGACATACAGTATTCATTTAAGTATCAATATCAAATTTATTTCGGCATTAATTTCATTTTTTTTATTTGTTTGTAAATATTTTCAGCCTTATTCAGTGTTAAAATTACTTTCTATGATCCTTTTTTTTTTAATTTTTCTTCCAGTTGCTTAATATTGTTATCACAATTATCAAAATTATTATTGCTAATCGTACCATTCATTATCATTTATATCACTATACTAAATTATTACTATCTAATTTAATGATTATCTAAACTAACATCTAAAACACGAAATAAGTGTGGTAATTAATTGATTTAACACTACCGTAACTAGCAAATTGTTAATGATTAGGTTTGAAAAACAAAAAATAGTAAACAAATAAGGCTTAAATTTTAAAGCAAAAAAAAAAGAGAGAAATATGAATATCAAAAAAATTACTGAAAAATAATACAAAAACTACAAAGGCATTAAAAAGAAGAATAAAATACTTAACTCAATTCTCAATATGTTTTTAAAAAAAAAAAGATTTTTATCCATTAGAAAAAAAAAAAAAAAATCGGAAGAAGAAGAAAATAGCTGAGTGGTAATAAAATATCAGTGAAACCAATCTATCTTTTCTATATTATCAAAAATTGAATGTAAAATGATATGATGAAGCTAATTCAAAATATTAATGCATAGTGAATTCATTTTTGTTAATGCATAATTTGAAATCTAAAATCAATCAATCGCTAATAATCATTGCTAGCAAAAAAAAAGAAAAATTTTTTTAGGCGCAGAATTTTTTTTATAAAGATTATAATGGAATATTAAAAAAGTAAACAAATTAATTAATTGAATAAATATTAAATAAATAAAAAATAAAGAGTGAAGTATGACTTAATCAGGAAAAAATTGTTGTTTAAAAATGTTAGAAGACACTTTGAATAATAAGTTTAGATTTAAGTTAAATTAAAATGATTTGAAAAAAGGAAGTCATATGACAGAAAAGTGGGATAATGTAAACTACTATTATTGGAACAGTTAAGACAAATTTAAATAAACTGGAATAGACCATTCGAATTAAAATAGACTAAGCATTGAATATATTACAAATCTTTCCTCTAATACATTTCAACTTTATTTGAAAATGATAATATTACTTTGGAATAATATGGCATCATTTTGAGATTTTAATCTGATCTGTAGACTAAAGTATAATATAATATGATCTCGGGATTTTAACTTGATTGCTAGATCAATGCATGACATCTCGGGAACATCTCGAGATTTTTGTTTGGTTTGTAGATTAAAGAAATAAAGAAAAGATGAGCAAAATATTACAAAAATAAGCAACACGAATTAGATATTCAATTACATTTCCCATATTTTTTATAATTATAAATTTATCGAATTCATTTACTCACACATACACTAATTTTATCATAAATTGATTTTTATATCTTAATTAATGTGAATACAATCTATCCTTATTAATTTTTACCCTATTAATTTCATTACTATCACATATTTTAATATATTAAGACTTAAATCTGAATCGAAAAGAACAAGTGACAAATTAAAAATTACATTAAAATATTTAAGTGAAAAAATTTTTATGCAAAAAATAAAATTTAATCACATTTACTGTAAGCCTTAATTTTTTTCATTCCTTATTTATCACTTTTCAATTTAAGTTCTTCTCGAAAAGAAACTGATGAATATAAATATAAAGCTATCGAGAATCTTTAAAATGCTAATCAAGATATCTTATTTCTAAATTTTATAATTCATTTAAATATGTATGAATGATCATGTCAACAATGTTTTCTACTTTTCCATCAATTGTTACATCTCTGTGAAACAAACGAAATCAAGAGTAAAGCTTCTGAATGAACAGATGTTAATTTGACATCACAACCCTGAATATGTCATTCTAATTATAATGTAATTCAGACAGTTTAGCTTATTAACAATTTCTCGAGATAATGCGGTCTCATCACAAAAATACAAATTACTCATATTCTAATTATATAATAGTTAGATGATCAAAATAATTAAGCAACCAAAAAATCTATATCATTTGTTTTGCATTTCAATTCATCGTATTAGTCTCAATTGTTTATTATTACTTTAGAGAAAATTGTTTTAAAAATTTTTTATTGAAATTCTAAAATTATCTTTAATAAAATTTAATTTAATCAAAAAATATGTATAATTTCTATAATATGTATAATTTATGTTTATTTAGCTTATTAACAATTTCTCACGATAACATGACACATTATTTGTTAGTAATAAAAATGAATTTAAAAAAAAAAAGAACTTTTTTTTTTTGATAGTATGAGAAAAAGAAAAAATAGCAATAATTAGGTTAATTAATTTAAAATTTTAATTTTAAATTTGAAATAAATTTGAAATGATAAAAAAAAATAAATGATATATTTTTGGTAGTTATTGATTTAGTAAATTAGCTAATTAATATTATGCTTAAACAAAAAAAAATAATTAAAAAACAAACAGCCTCGTTTCTTGTCCAAATTTAATTCAATTAAATGCAATTAAATTATTAAGCAAGAAATTATAATGACAAAGAATAAAAAAGAATTAAATTTTGCTAGCAAATATTTTAATTGAAATGAGAAATTACATAAATTATTATATAGTATAAGAAGGAAATTTTATTCTTTCTACTAATAATTTATAATAATAAATACTATTTTCGATCTAATTTAATGTAATTTTAATTTTTTCTTTTGTTTTTAATTTAATTAAGGCCTAATGAGAGAATGAAATTTCTATCATTTCATATTAGCATTAATAATTTAAAAGCATTTTCATATTATTAGTATCTAAAATTATAATTAAAATGACATGTTATGTTTATTAATAAGTGTTATAAAGTATGAGTAACATTTCTGACTTATATAATAAAAGAAAATAATTTTAAAAATTAAAAAAAAAAAAATTATCAAATGATATAACAATGAATGAAATTTTCTACAATGGAAATGATAAAATATGTTATGATAATATTTAATAAATAAAAATAAATAATATTACTGCAGTAAATATGAATGCATATTGCACGAATATTATTTATTATATCATTCAAAATTACCGTAATTTTATAGACAAAATTTATTTTTATGTCAATTTATCAATCAAATTTCACTATCACAATCTTATCATTTCATTAAAAATTTTCATCACTCTCTTATCAATATCAAATTGTACTTGCTAGCATGTTTATATGTTTACTTTTTTGTTAAATTTCAAAATTTATACCATTTTTTTATTTTTTACTTTTTTTACTATAACCATTTTTTTTTTTTTTGGAATTAATTTAATTTATTTAGCATATTTACATATATATTATTATTAAATTAATCATTATCATCGATTATAAAAATAATAGTAATTATTCTTTCATTCAGAATGTTCTCAATTTGGATTATATTTTATCACAAATTAAAATGCAGAAGCAAAATTTAGATTTAAACAAAAATATTAAATATTTAATCAAAATTATAAATTTTCTTTTTTTTTTTTAAATTTATAATTCTTATATTTTCCCTTATTATTATTATCAATCAATATCTTTTATTTTCATAATAACACTGCTTATCGCTTTTAACCAAATTGGTCAAATGACAAATAATATGCAAAAAAAAAAAAAAAAAAAAAATAGAAGTCAAAGGTCAAACAATCAATATGATCTTTTTTCTTATTCATAAAAAAAGAAGAAAACTTTACTTAATTACTTTAAAAAATGTATCAATAAGTATTAATAAACATATTATCAATTATATTAGCATATGAATTCACCATTAATCTCATTAAATTAAAAATTATAAAATTTAATAAAAATTAAAAAAGAGAAAAAACAAAGCAAACAAAAATAGAAGATACCTTCTTTGGCAACGCTTCGTGCTGGTGTCGCCAAACGTGAGTTCGCTGCATGCGCTGCAGCGGTTGTATTTGAATGAATTGTCGTTGATGTACGAATTGATGGCGATGGAAGTCTGAAAAAAAAATTTTATGTAGAAAAAAAATATGTTCATATATACAACAATATGTGTATGTGCGTGTGTACGTGTACGTGTGTGCACGTGTGCGTGTGTACGTGTGTTCACGTGTGCGTGTGTATATGTGTGTCTTACATAAATTGTACTGCAAAAAAAAGCAGAAAAAATGCATTTTTATTTGAAATAAAAACAAAAAAAATAAACAAATAAACTAAACATATAATATTATTTCATGCATCGCAAAAAAAAAAAAATTTTTTTTTAAAAAAAATTTTAATAAATTCAAAATTCAAAAAATTATAAAATTTATCGCAAAATTTCTTTTACAATTTTCACTTAAAAAAAAAAATTCAAAAAAAATCATACTATAATTTTATTCAATTAATATTTTGCATATTCAAAAATTAAGACGCAATTTTTTTTTTCCTTTTTTGATTTTTAAAACAGTAAATTAATCGTCAAACTTTAATTAATTTATATTAGTTATTTAGTCATAAATCAATTTTGCAAAAAAAAAAAAAATTTTAGCATTAATGTAGAGTTAAAATTAATTAATAAAAAAAAAGAAAGAAAGAAAGAAAGAAAAATAGGAGAATAAAATAATATCAAATTTAATTCTAACTCTATAAAAGCTTTTTATTCATTCTAGATCATTCTAAAAATGCCATCTATCTATTGCTCTCCTCATTGGTTCATCTTATGTCACACATTGATGTCACCAACAATGATCGCATGCAAACTATCTTCAGGAAATATACATTTCAATTTGAAAAGTAACCATTCAAAAGCTTTTATCTTTCATTAATTATAAACTGATGACATATTCGCTATTGGATTTCATTTCAAAAGCATTGAATTACAATTTTATTACTTCTAACAGATCTTTTTTTTTTTTTAAGTATTACTTTTTACTAGTAACTATTACTTTTACTATAACTTACTACTGCTACTACTACTATTCCAATTTAATTATAGCAATTTTTAGTGCCACTCAAATCACAAATGCAATTGAAATGTACTACTGTCTCATCATTGTCAACTTAATTACTTTTATTTTATTATACTGATTTAAAAGGAGAGAGAGAGAGAGAGAGAGAGAGAGAGAGAGAGGTAGAAGTAGAAAAAAAAAAAAGGAAACAATTCATTTCTCATTTAATTATAAATATATATGTCGGCAAAATTTCATTTCTAATTTTTTTTTTTTTTTTTTTGAATAATATTACAGTTACATTTCTCTCATTCTTTTCATTTTTTTTTTTATTTTTATTTTTATTTGACAGAATGTAAATTTAATTAATACAAAGTTAAAAGAATGAATGAAAAATATAAATGAAAAATTGTATAAAAAAAATTCATTTAAAAATAAATTTTTTTCACTAAATAAAAGTTTATCTAATTTTTTGACATTTTTTTTCGAAAAAAAAAAATTACTAAAGTATTGTGGTTTCAACGATTAATTAATTAATCGTAAAATTGATGAAGTTAATTTTATTTCATTAATTAGTAAAGAATTTTTGAAAGAAATTTGAAAAAAAAAAAAAAAAAGAAATATAATTTTCTCGTGTTTATTCTTGTAAATAATAGTTTTAATAGGATATTAGTACATTTCTAAATTAACAAATGGTATTAAATTTGTTTTGCATTTGGTGGAAATAAAACTATTCAAAGAATTAATCATTTATAAATTTTAATTAAAATGATAAATTACATTTTGATAATTAATCATTATGATTGTAACTATTCTAACATATCATTTTTTTTTTTTTAATTAATTACTAATTAAGTCTATCATATATTAAATATTTTAAATTTGCATTGATATAAAATAATTGCAATATCTCTGCTAAAATATTTATTAAAAAAAAAAGATAGCCACATTATACATATATGATCCCATGGCTCATTTTTTTTTTTTTTGCCTTATATCTATTGCTTGGCCAATTATTTATTATTTGCCCTTTATTTTATTGCCTTGCTTCTCAGGCCATATGTGTTTGTTTTAGCTTAACAAATAAATTTAAATGATTTTATTATCTAATTTCAAATATAGGTTATAAAGCAATAAAGATAACAAATGATTATAGTACGTTTTATTTATTTATTTTTTTTTTTTTTGAAAAAATTTATAAAAGTTTAAAGTTTGTGATAAAAGTATTACTATATAAAATTTTCTGAGGTGAAAAAATAATTGAAATTAAATCGATCAAATAAATGAACGATCACAAAAATTGAATGTGATCAATTGAAGATCAATCTTTTATAAAAAAAAAAATTGAGCAAAAAAAAAAAAGAAAAGAAAATTTCGAGAAAAAATAATATATACTATCGCGTATAATGTTATTCTCAATCAATATTTCGAGAGAAAATTGATTTAAAAAAATAAAAAAAAATAAAAATTATGCATTTTAATATTTGCTAAATAAAAAGTTTATTTTTTCTTTTCTTTTTCTTTTTAATATAGCAATTAGAAAAATAAAAATTTTCTCGCAAAAAAAAAAAAAGAAACAATTAAATTAATAAAATAGCTAATTAAATTATAGCATACTATGATATTCAATTCTTTTTTAGACTAATAAAATATCTTTTGGAAAATATTAATTAAATTATAGCAAAATTTTATTTTAGATAGAAAAAAAAAAAAAAAAAAAAAAAAATAATAAATAGATTATTATGAATAGTAAATATAAAGTATGAAAGAATGAAATGAATTATTCAAAATGAAATTAATAATGATAAAAAGCTTTCGTTCTCGAGATCGAGAACGAATTGAGAAGATATAAAAGATAAAGAAAAAGAATAAAATGAGAAATATGATGGTAGTGATATGTTTACTAATGCTGGTACTGCCTGTTATTTCGCCAAAAAAAAAAATTTTATGAAAATGTTTTAAATTATTGCTGCCAACAGCAAATTTCTTTTTTTGGAATGAGAAAAAAGAAGCCCAAAATGGATGGGTAAAAAGAGAAGATGGGCATTTATCAAATGGGTAGCAAATGAAAACGATAGAGAGAAATTTGTTATTCAAAAAAGATGAGACACTTTTGTCATGCTTTGTCAACTGGTGTCAACCTCTTGGAATACTAGAAAACATAAAGGCAATCATTTTTTAAAACAAATTTTTTACTCATTCCGCAAGTTCATTTTATTTTTTTAAATAATGCAAAAGTGCTTTGCTTTCAAAGATTTATTTATGAATTTCAAAATTATTTAGTAATTTTTCAATAATATTTTAGCACAAATAAAAAAAAAAAAGTAAATAATTTCTTAAATAAAAAAAAAAATTTTTTTGTAAAGTGTAAAGTGATTAATAGTAAGAAATTTTGGTGGAAAACAAAATTGACAATTTTGCATGTCATTTTTTTCACTTTTTTTTTATCAAAAATTTTATCTTTTTTTTTTATGCCAAAATTTCAAATTTCATTCAAAATTTCAAAAAATGTCACATTTCCTTTTTCACTTTTTTTTTCTTATTTCAAATTGTCTTTTCCTAATTTTTAAAAGAACAAAACAAAAAAAAAAAGGAAACAATAAGCAAGATTATAAATAATTTTATAAAAGTTTTATTTTTTTGGAAAAAATATCTAAAAATATTTACGAAGTGAATAAAAATTTAAATTTACACTAATACATTCGTATCAATTGCAAATGAAATTAAGCGGAAAAATTTGTTTTTTTTTTTTTTTAAAAAAAAAGACTGAAATTTCATGAAAATTTAATACTTACTTGCTACTGGGTGGCATTGTTTGTGTTGTGCAAATTTTTCCAGTATTATTTTTCTTTGATTTTAGTTGTGCTACTTGAGAAGTAGTAGTGGATGATTCAGATGATCGTACAGTTGCTAAAATATTAATTAATTACTAAATTTAAAAAGTGTAAGCTTAAAATAAAGCATTTGTAACAGAAATTAAATTTTGTAATTTAAAAAAAAAAAAAAAAAGGATTGTTTATTTTAATTAGTTTTATTACTAATAAATGAGCAAAATTTAAAATGATTGAAAGGGAAATATCAATCAAAATGATTAGTATGACACATAAATTGGTGATAATTTTATGATAACACATAGGGATGGTTGTGATAACGTTGTGATAAAAAGGGATTTTTGATAAAATGTAAATAAGAAGTGCAAAAATATATGTAATATACATTACATATAATTCAATTCAAAAAATTTGAAAAGCCAAAAGATAAACACTGAAATATAATTATTGCAATTTTTTTCTTTATCGACAAAAAAATAACTTTTTTCATTTTTCACTCTTTTTTTTTGTTTAAACTAATAATTATATAATGTTAAAGTATCAGTAATAAATTCAAAATAAAAAATTTTAGATCAAAAATTAATTTTAGCGAAAAAAAAAAAAACAGTAGAAATGATAAATAAAAGTGTAAAAAAAAAAATTCATCAATTTTTTTTTTTTTTTAAAAAAAAAAAAATTTTTCTTTTTTTTTTTTCAACAAAATATTTTGAAAAAAAAATTATCAAAGTTTTTTTTTTTTTTTTTTTTCAAATATTTAAATAATATTTTTATATTAATAATATATTAAATAATAATTTCTAAATAACAAAAAAAAAAATCTTTTTCAAATTTAATAAATTGTTTTCAAATTAAATTTCATTAATTTATTTTTTTTCATTTTGTCTTTTTGTTCAAATATTATTATAATATACCAATAGTTGTCACAGCTGCAGCTCGTATAGATTGTTTAATTCGTTGTTTATATACTGATAAACCATAAAGTAGCGAAAGTATTGCACCCAAATGACCATTCAAAATATCTGTAAAATAAATTTTTTATTATACTTTAAAAATAATTTCACTATTAATTTATACAATTTTCAATTTGTCATTTGTTTAAAAAATTTTAGATATAATTTTCCTTTTTTCTTTTTAAAAATATAATTTTATCGGAAATAACAAAACAATTAGATTCATTTTCTTCAAAAATTATTAACAATTATTACTAATTTTTGCATTTAACTATCAAAATAATCAATTGATAATAATCAATTTAAACGATCAAAAAATAATTCGTAAAATAATAAATTAATATTATCAGCCAAAAGATCAAAAATTATGCAAAATTAATATATTTGCATTATTGCCATTTCTTATATTACAATCTTTCATAATACTATGATTTTAGCAATAAAATTTGTTTATTTAATATTATTACATAGGTCAAAGTTCATGCATATTTTTTTTATTAATTAAAAAAAGATTAATTAATACAGTGCATCATATTAGCATTGTTGCTTATTAAATAAACAAATAAATAATTGTATGAACAATGAATTGAATTAGTTTTTTTTTTTCTTCCATTTTTGGCATTAAATTTTAAAATATTTGAAATTTTTTTGTCATTTTTAAAATGCTATTCAACAAATAACACATTAAAATTTGCGTGTCATCTACAGTTTAAGATCAAATAAAATGAATGGACAATTTTAAATGACAGAAAAAAAAATACAATTTGAGCAAGAAAAAAAGCTGCAAAAAAAACTTAGATCTTATTACTTTAGAAAAAAAAAAAAAAAACTTTGTTTTAAAATTTGGTACAATTTTCTATTATTTCATAAATTAATTAACTAATTAATTAATTGTAGGAAAAGGAAATGTAAATAAGTATGAAGCTTAATGATATATTTGATAATCTAAAAGTAAATACAAAGTTGGAATCAAAATTTGACAAAAAAAGATAAAATAAATAGTAATGAAGGCGCCAAGAAAGAAGCAAAATGATTGAATAAATGTAAGAAATAAAGATTTAAGCAAAAAGTGCATGCATACATGCATGCAATGCATGCATGAATGCATGTATGTGCACTTTATATCGAAAAATTGCTAGATTGAATAATGAAAAAAAAAAAAAAATTAAATTTTTTACGATGTAAGGTATAAAGCTATGTATTATTTACATTGTAATATGTAACAACCTATAATATCACAGATTTATTATAATTAATAATTTATTCATCAAATTTTATATTTTAAATTTTTTAAATATATTAATTAATTAATAATAAAATTAGAATTAAGAAAGAATTTTTTCATTAATAAAGCATTAATTAATTAACTTTTTAATAATAATTAAAATGAAAGTTATGAAAAGAAAAGGAATGAAAGAAATGTCTTTGTTTTTGTTTTTTTTTTTCTTATTTTTCAGAAAACAAAAAAAAAAAAAATGAAAAACCTAATCCTTTTTTTTACCTAAAGTTTTTCTAATCAATCATGCATAAAATGAATGAAGAAAGAATGTTTTAAAAATAATAATAATTAATAATAGTAACGTACTAATAACAATACTTAATAATAAATAATAATTATTAATAATACTCAGTGATAATAATAAACAATAATAATTTATTAATTAATAATAAATAATAATTAATAATAACAATATTTAGTAATAATAACAAACAATAATTAATAATAACAGTACGTATTAATAATGAATAATAATAACAGTACTTAGTAATAATGATAACAATAGTAATAATCATATTTAATAATAATAGGCAATTATTACAACTATAATAACATTTCTTTTTAAAGTATTTGAAAAATAATTATACTAAAATTAAAGTATGTAAAAATCTTTATAAAAAAATGTTTATTTATTTTTCAAAATTTTATTTAAAATGGATATAATTTTAATAAAATTATAAAAAAAGAAAAAGGAAAATTATCAATTTCAGTACTATATTAATTTAATTTAAATATTTAAAAGAGAGGAGAGGGAGAGATGGAGAGAGAGAGAGAGAAGAAATGATAATTGTTATCAGTGATTTGCACATAAAACTACTTAATGAAAAAAGTTTCCACCTTCCACACTGATAAATATTGTCATTTCCGCATTCTTAACTATATTATTCATCCAAATATATAACATAATAAAAAATGATAACAAACAAAAAAAATTCAATTTTAGTTGATAAGAAATTTTTTAAAAATTCAAAAAAAAAATTTTTGAAAAAATTATAAAATTTTCAAAAAAAAAAAAAAAAAAAAAGACATACGGAATGAATGAAAAAAATGAAAATTTTAAAGTAAAGCAATTTCTTTTATTTTTTTTTTTTTTTTTTTTTTTTTTGCTCATATAATAAACTGAAAATTACGAGCAAATAAAATTATTTCCTTCTTGAAAAATCTTTTTTTTCTAAATTTAAAAAAATTTGTTCTAAAAAAAAATGTGAAAAATACCAATAAAAAATAATATAAAAAAAGTACACAGAAAGAATGAAAAAAAAAAAAAAAAAAACAAAAATTTTTAGATAAAAACTTTTTTTTTTCGTTATTGTTCGCATACCAAACTAAAAATTACAAACATTAATTAATTTTAAATTTGCGAATAAAATTTTTTTATTGTTAAAAAAAATTTTTTTTTTTTAATATTTAAAATTAATTATAGTTATATTAGGAAGAAAAAAAAAAAGAGCAAAAGCCTATTCCAATTTAAATATACAAGTGTTATTAGATTAAAATTTATTTTAAATTAAATAAATTTTAATAAATAAGTAAAATTAATTGTTTTATTTTTAATAGAATATTCTACAAAAACTATTATCAATGTGCAGTGATAATAATAATAATAATAATAAATATAAAAATTGTAGTATTACTTATCTCTCCTAAACCATTTCTTCGTTTTTTTTTTTTTTTTATTTTTTTTATTTATTTTATTTTATTTATTTTTTTTTTTTTTCATTCTTTCTTTTTACAATCATTCGTCATTCTTTTTGATCAAAATGAGAACGTACGATGGATGATGCTAAGCTAACATTCCAATAATTTTTGTCTCTATTGAAAAGTATCAGACATTACAAAATGATTCATTCATATTTTCAGTCTCAAATTTATTCTAATTTTACTTACCCAATAATTTAACTATCCAAAAAACTTACCTAATTTCTTTAATTTTATCTAATTTTAATATATTATTAAAGGGAGTTAAAAAAAAAAATTTTATTTTGGCCAAAAAAAAATAAAATTTTTTTTTCTTCATTTTTTTTTTTTAAAATTTTTTTTTGTTTACTTTAAAAAAACAAAATAATCGACATTATATTTATCATTTCAACAATTTTTTATATAAATAAAAACTAAAAAAAAAAAAAAAAAAAGAATGAAATTAATTTATTTATCAATAAATTTAGGGCAAAAGAAAAAAAAAAATAATAAATTAATAAATTGTAGGTAAAATTGAAAAAATTTTTATTAACTTTTATTTTTTTCAAATAAATATTTTATTGCTAAATATAACAAAGTTATATGAGAAATGAATATTTTATTGAAGAAAATTTGATGAAATTTTATTCGTTTTTCTCTTTTTTCTTTTTTTTTTTTTTTTTTTGTTTACTTTGAAAAAGCAAAATGATTTTTTGTTTACTTAATAGCTATGTAAATAAAATTCGTCATCATTTCTAAATGACACAGTGCTTTTTTTATTGGTATATATGATAAAAAATAAAAAAAAAGAAATTTCAAAAGCATTATGAATGTTTCATATTTTATTAAAATTATATTTCAAAAAAAAAAAAAAGAAGAATTCAACTTTGGGAAAATATATAAAAATAAACAAATAAATAAGAACAAACAATTTAATTTTAAAATAACAAATTCATATATATGCCAAAAAATTTTCACTTTATTTTAATTTTTATTAAATTTTATAAATTATTTTAATGAAATTATTAATTAAATTATTTTCAAAAAAAATAAGATTAATTAAATAATTACTATAGTGAAATAATAAAAATGGAAAGACTTGATTAAAAAGAAATGTATGCCAAAAAATAGAATTAATTAAGTTTTGATTAATTAAAATATTAAAAAAAAAAAAAATGTTTTTCTTCTTATTTTAAATCAAATTAATTTTCAAAAAAAGAAATTATAAAAAATGGCAATGATTTATTGTAGTTTTATTCATTTAACAAATTTCATTTTTTTTTTTTTTTTTTAACTTTCGTGCAATTTTCAATGAGAAATTGAAACTTTTAGTATCAATGACACAAATTTGTTTTTATTTTATCAAATGTCTTTAAAATAAATTAAATTTTTCATCGTTTTTCATTTTTTTTTTTTTAAATTTACCAAATTTTTAAAATTTGAAATTGAAAAAAAAAAGATAAATTTGCAAGGAGCATAAATGTTTGATGATTCATCCGAATAGTTAATAGATAAGGAATAAATTGTATGTTTTGTTAGATTGTAAAATTTTATTTTAATTTTTGCATTAAAAAACAAAAATTACAACATTACATTAAAATGGAAATTTTTTCTTTAAAAGAAATTTTTTTAAATTATAAAAAATTTGTTTTGATTTTGTTGAAAAAATAATTACAATCATTAAGTTTTTATTAATTGATGTATGGGAATATATTCATTCCATTCAGCATGCAAAATTAGTAGTAAATTTCAAAATTGAAATTTAAAAAGAAAAGAAATGGAGAAAAAAAAAGGTGAAACATTAAAAATATGAGTGAAAGTATTCAAATAAATTTAAATTTGATTTAAAATTATCATTATTTTATTCATTACTAAGTGTTCAAATAAATTTAAATTTGATTTAAAATTATCATTATTTTATTCATTACTAAGTGTTCAAATAAATTTAAATTTGATTTAAAATTATCATTATTTTATTCATTACTAAGTGTTCAAATAAATTTAAATTTGATTTAAATTATCATTATTTTATTCATTACTAAGTGTTCAAATAAATTTAAATTTGATTTAAAATTATCATTATTTTATTCATTACTAAGTGTTCAAATAAATT